CGATGCCATGGTCAAGTCTCTTAAATGAGACATTAAAAAAATACAATAAAATTTTTGGTGCGGGTTATGGTGTTTTGGAGTGGCATACAAAAAGCAAGTCGTTTCAATTGCCCAGTGCATACTTTAATCAAGTGAAAATCTACCTGACAGTTTTTGTGGAACGGAGTAGTAACATCTTTTGCTACGACTCGTGTTCGTGTTCGTCGTCGCTCGCGTACGAATTCTACAATTTCACGAAGCACAGCTTTTGTCCTTGGGACTCGAGATGTATGAAGAGAATTGTTAGCACGTTGTTGTTTGACTACAAGTGATTTTATATCTCTGTTAGTTGCCACTCCTCACGTACAACTTTTTGGCTGCGTCCCAGAATTGTCGCTATGTGGTTTGTTGCGGAATCAAACGTTTTGCGCCTGAAATGTGCGTGCAACCGAAGTATGTCCAAACGTTCTTCTTTGGTCAACGCTCGTGGTCGCTCACTCTTTACGTAAGACGTGATCTCTTCGTAGATGTCGTCTGTGACGGTCGTGTGGGGACCCATGTCATTGCGAAACTGGTGGTGGCGTATCATGTAAGGTATCCGGAACTATCAGCAAAGAAAGGTTTGGTTATGAGTGGTTAGGGTAAACTCTACACAAGTTATACTATCCGATTTCACAATGTACTTTTTTCATGGGTAAATTTAGACCTGAAATAGTTTGTTTTTCGATCAAAACTCGAAGGCAATTAAGTTTCAGGCGGAATTTATGGTTCAAATTAAATCGCGATGAAAAACTCAACCGATGTGTGTAATTTGGTCATCCAAAATTGTGAGATACGTAAAATGTGTTAAAAAATCCCTCGATGGTCTCGTCGACTGTAAATTTTCTCGTTCACTGTCAGTAAACCTATACATCAAATTTCACCGGATAACGTACATTTATCCGAAATTGTACCGGATACAACGAATGCTATCCGGGAAAACCGAAGTTTACAGTTAATTTTACACAGTACTAGTATAAAGTGCGATGCAAAAGGTTATAACCACTGGGTTTTTCTTGATTGTTTTTTTGTTGGCTGCGAATTCAATTAAGCTGAAAGTATGCATAGATTTGTATTAATAAAACACACATTTCTAGCTTTGAAGCATGTTAAAATTAGAAAATGTCAGTGAGAAATGAAAAAAATTAAGTTTTACCACCGACGCGAAAGGTTATAACCACTTCGAGAGCAGAAGGTTGAAATGATACAATAGATCTTGGGATGAATTAATGCCTTACTGTTCGTTGACATACATATATTGTATATAATAGGGGTTGTTTACATTATAACCGATCACTTGGTCATAGATTGAGCAACTGATCAATTGTTGTATGTCTGACTTGAAGTATGACAACTATCCGTTTTACTTTGGCAATTGGTAAGTAATGGTGTTGCTGATTCTTCACATACGGTACTGTCGATTTACGAGGTCCTCAAATATCTTCCTCAATCTCGAAGCAACAAAGGCAAAAATACGATTAACTGTGAATACATGCGAAGGAGTAATCATAAGGGCACGCACGTATGTGTGCAGTGGGCTTTGCCATTCAGATTGATGTTACCAGTCTTTGCTGAATGTAGCATGCACTTCAGAACAACGCTGCATAATTACCACTAACGTAAAAAACCAATTTAAGATAACTTTTTTGGAGGCGTCGGAGTAGACAGACATATATTGTATATAATAGGGGTTGTTTACATTATAACCGATTACTTGGTCATAGATTGAGCAACTGATCAATTGGTGTATGTCTGACTTGAAGTATGACAACTATCGGTTTTACTTTGGCAATTGGGAAGTAATGGTGTTGCTGATTCTTCACATACGGTACTGTCGATTTACGAGGTCCTCAAATATCTTCCTCAATCTCGAAGTGCCAAAGGCAAAAATACGATTAAATACATGCGAACGAATATTCATAAGGACACCTATGTGTGCAGTGGGTTTTGCCATTCAGATTGATGCTACCAGTCTTTGCTGAATGTAGCATGTACTTCAGAACAACATTGCATCATTACCACTACTGTGACACGCTATATCAACTAAACGTGTATATAAATGTGACCAACAAGAATTATCTAAAATGAGTTGTTTTCATGTAGAGGCTGGACGAAAAGTTGCAATTGCAGAGATTTCGAAGTTTCGTTAAAATGTACTATATAAGGAGATTAAATTTGGCATAGCTGGTTAAACAACTTGAAGTTCAACAACCCCTATAACTACATGTTTGCCGCCAAAATGAATCAAAATGCCCGTCAGGTTGGCAAGTCAACAAACTTCTTGCCCACCACACAATTGAATTTGCATCGCAATGCCCATCAACGCCAACGCCGTCCTTAACCGCCTCCAAGACCAGACCATTCGTGATCGGTCGTATCTCGAGGCTTCCTTCACCACCAATGGGGAGGCCGCAAGAGCGGCTAATGAAAGCGATGAGGCCGCTGCGCACCCTATCATGGACAAGTTCATAACTGACCTCGGTTCAGAGGGAATCCGCACGCTGACGAACTTCACTGTCACTGAGTTTGAAACTCTTTGGTCCTTCGTGGACACTGCCATGCAATCGGCTTGGATGGAAGGGCGCGACCGTCGATCTCCTACGAGCCCGAAGGACGCCATGTTCATGGCTCTGACCGTCCTCAAGCACTTCTCGTCATGGGAAAAGCACACTGCGGATTATGGCTTCAAGGCACCAACGTTTGAGAAGCTTATCACGCGCGTGCTCTCGGTAGATGAGTATATATGTTGTGTGCAATCTCTAACAGACAACACTGTAGGTGATTGAACCCATCTTCTACCGACGTTTCATCACTCCAGTGACGATGGCGGAGCTCACCCAGACAGGTCAGCGCTTTGCCCACTTTCCATACGCTCTCTATGCTGTAGACGTCAAGTTTCAACCTTCGAACCGACCTGCCGGTCGCTTTGCTGAGCAGAAGCACTACTTTAGTGGCAAATACCACTTGTATGGCTACAAGATCGAAGCAGCTATGTCGCCAGATGGCCGATGTGTTGCCATGTCTACTGCCGACCCTGGATCTGTGCACGACCTTACCATTATGAACTCTCGCAAACATGTCCACCCTGTCAACTTAGCCAAGTCGGCCTCCGAGTCCCTTGTGCCGGACCATGGAGAGCAGGCTGCCCTGCATCGTGGCTCGTGGGCTTGTCTTGTTGACATGGGCTACATTGGAATCAGCCACTCATTGCGTGGCATCCACCCGAAGCGTCTTCCCGCCCATGGATCTCTTGATGCCAGCGACTTGGAACGAAATGCCAACGTCTCCTCGCATCGGGTGATCGTGGAAAACTTCTTCGGCTGAGTGTGCTCCCTCTGGCGCGTATCCTGAGCCACGTACACGTGGTCCGAGCGAAACTACTCTGCGATCCAGCGCGTTACGTTTGCGTTGACAGACTTTCACTTGTCCTTGCTACCCTTGCGCCATGATGACGAGGACTTTTATGGCCGTGTACTCGCTCGCTACCAACGTATGGCGAATGAAAAGAAGCGCAAGCGTCAAGAAACTCAACGCCGTTATCGGTTGAACCGTCAAGAACGTGCTGCTATGGATGCTGTCCGTGTTATGCGCTTCTAGTACTTTAGCGTCTAAATTCGTTGATTTTTTCACCAAGTATGTTATTTATTGATCAGTGGTCCAGTAAATAATCGGTAACTTGGTCATTTCGGAAACTAACGATTTTTGACACAAACACATTGCTCTTGATATTCTGCAAGGTGAATTCGTGAAGTCCCTTGTATTGATTATTTGTATAACTATTTCCGAATTGACATGATCAAATTGGAAATATGGCAGGTATACAGGAAGCCAGTCATCTACTGGTTTAAAGATCTAATGTATTCAAGGATTTTAAGCTCCTAGTAGTTAGTGATCATTCCTTTCGCGAGACACCCCTATTTCATGCCCAGGGTGAGGACTTGGAGGTAGAGAACCTCGAGGCAATATCCGTGATGTGTGATGCCAATCTTGACCTCCTGTTTCGAGTTGTACTGCTTACCACCATCGTGAACGCTGTAAATCTGATAGCCCCAGACGTTTCCAATAGAATCTAGATCCGGGGATGGCCCGAGTCAGTCAATAACATACACGTTATGCGCTTAAAATGTTCAATTTCAATGTAGGAGCTTAAAATCCTTGAATACATTGTATCATTTCAATCGCTTTATGGTCTCAACCCTTCTGCTCTCGAAGTGGTTATAACCTTTCGCGTCGGTGGTAAAACTTAATTTTTTTCATTTCTCACTGACATTTTCTAATTTTAACATCCTTCAAAAATGTGTGTTTTATTAATACAAATCTATGCATACTTTCAGCTTAATTGAATTCGCAGCCAACAAAAAAACAATCAAGAAAAACCTAGTGGTTATAACCTTTTGCATCGCACTGTATTAGTGCCAAATATACTGTCGCCGCGGTGGAGATGCTCTAACGACGTAGCGTTTAACACTATCTCCTCTCGCTATGGGAGGCTTTAGACGACGTAAGGTAGACCATTGCAGACACCATTGTATCGCATCTGCAATGAGCTATTTCATGGAAGATTTGGTTCACCCCAGCAGAAAAACTCCTCATCGCCCAAACATACAGTAAGTATGTAACAGTTGCGAATTCGAATTGGATGCCACAATGACCAGGATATTTCGTCGCATCTTGAGCGGGCTTTCGTAGCGTAGCGTAGGTAGGTTTGCTGCTGATTTTCGTGGGGGGTTCGGCGCATTTGAGGGGGCTAGCGATAGCTAACCACTTCGCCATACGCCATTCCTTATTCACTCACTAAGCGGAGTTCGTCACAGTATAACCGGATATGGCGAATTATCCGGGCGTTTCGGTAAAAAGCCTTCTAAACCCTTTGATTCGGGGGAAATTTGGAGAAACAACATCTATTGGCTGCAATTCAGCCAATATCGAACGGCATTTGCGATTTCAAAAACTCAAAGAGGGGGAAGCCACGGCGGTAAGAAGCATCGTCGCCATATCGTCGTGTACGTCCATCACAACGTCTCATGGCGACGCATGTGCAGGAAGGACGACGAACATGCAGCGTGAAGAAATGAATGAGGAACAAAACCCCAACTTGCATCTCCAGCAGTTGCAACTGCAGCAACAGCAGCTCCAACAGCAGCAGATGCAGCTGCACGCGTTCTGGCAGTCGCAAATCCACGAGATCTCTCAGATCGACCCGGAAGTGCAAGACTTCAAGACACATCAGCTCCCCCTTGCGCGCATCAAGAAGATCATGAAGTCCGACGAAGACGTCCGCGTACGTTCCTTCATCGCCTTCGATGTTGCTAACGAACGAACGAACGAACGTAGATGATCAGTGCGGAGGCGCCGGTGTTGTTCGCCAAGGCATGTGAGATGTTCATCTTGGAACTGAGTTTGCGCGCGTGGATCCACACCGAAGAGAACAAGCGGCGCACGTTACAACGCAACGACATCGCTATGGCGATCACCAAGACGGACACGTTCGACTTCCTCATCGACATTGTGCCGCGCGAGGACATCAAGCTGCCTGGCAAGAAAGTACGACTCGTTCTCACGATGATGATCGTGTACTCACTCGACATCACGATAGGAAGGGTCGATGGACCCGCAAATGGTGTACCAGCAGCAGTTGCAACAGCAGCAAGCGGCGATGCTCCACCAGTTCATGCAGTCGCAAGCCGGCGCGAACCCGTCAATCTGGCCCCCACAGCAGTTGCAGATGATGCAGCATTACCAGCAGCAGCTCCAAGGCATGCAGCCGGCGGCCGCGGAAGCGTCGCAGCAGCAAGCGGGGCAACAGCAGCAGCAGCAGGCGCAGAACCAATCGCGCGGCGTGGACGTTTAAAGGACCCGCTTCCATCGATACCAGATCCAATCAATGATGCTGGTTGCATAGCTTTGTGTGTGTCTATCTTACTTGTCGAGCGCGGGTGCATGTTAATAGCTAATTCTCACATCTATTCGAAACCATGTCCAAGTATAATACAAACTCCAGTACGAGAAGCCTAAGCCAATCAAATCACGTTCTGTGGAATTTCCGCCAATCGAAAACGTTTGATTCGGCCCAGACATACTACTAATCTTTGTATTGTATAGTTGGTACAAGCTTAAATTGGATCCCATCGATTCGAGTTACAAGGGATTACAGCGAGTGGGGCGAGTGCCCCATGGCCTTGGTCTGCGTGAGCTTTGCATGCTGGTACATACCCACCCCTCCCAGCTACGAACATGCGACTCTTAGCGTGAGGATACGACGAAGATCTTACCGCGACCGCCATCCCCACGCCCGACGTCAGCGTCATGGCATTTCCAAAGTACACGACCGCGCTCACGACAATCACCACGCGCTTCAACGTGCTCATGATCGAGTACGTGAGTTCTGCCACGTGGCCCAGTAGCTACGCATACAAACCACACACACGTGTATGACGTGGCAGCACCACATCGATCGAAGGCACATTACCAAGATCGACGCCAAGCTCGACACGAATTGGCAGATGCTGCACACAAAGATCAACGTGTATGGGATTCTAGGGAGAAAGATGACATTCCTTATTTCATGGGAATAGATGAAGAACATTGCTGATTCGTACTGGTCCGGAAGCATCGCTTGGTTCCACATGAGCACGGGGCTGTTGACAAGGATGCACAGCAGGCCGCTGTAGAAGTGCAGCTACGCAGCATTGTAGCAAGGGTGAAAGTGGAGGGAAGCATGATCCGTACATTGACGCTGTCAACAATCACCCCGTGCCGCAGCAGGTACTTGGCATACATGCTCTACACACCGATCATCATCAAGCTGCTTCCGACGGCATCATGACGGAGGACCATCACCTCCTCCTACCTGCATGACGCCACTCATAGACGAGGCCACAGCACATATCAATCCGGCGGTCGCGACTTCCTAACTCATGAGAATAACAACACATGAACGTCAGCCGTTAAATATATATCAGGGAGAGGACGTTGGTACGTTGATTTGGACTTCGGACAGGGACGCCATGGCCACGCCGACCACGATGGGCACGAGCGACACGTAGATGGGCGTGGCGTGGCTGGTACGATACACGACGAAGGCCAGCATGACGTTGAAGAGCGGCGTCGACGCCTGAGAACAAACCTGACTACAACATGACGAGATGGAAAGAACGACGCACTTTGCACGTGTGTGTAACGGCCACGGGCACTCTGCTATAGCTCCAATACGTGAGCAGTTTGGACGCGATGGCCAGCACACTCAGCGGCAGCAACCGCAGCAGCCTCAAGGTCCAAGGACGTCAGTTCATGGTACAAGGGCGGGGACGACGACGGGGCTTACGAGGATAGCTTCATGGGCTGGAGGAACCACATCTTGTACTTGGACGTGGCAGGCACAGCAAAGATGGCCGCTGAAGACGACGTGGCGTCCAGAGTGAGTATATATATGTACATGTAGTGAGGTAGGTTGCTCACCGTCGAAGATTGTGCCCATGACCAAGTGGCACACTGTCAGAAGCTCCGCGGACATGCCGTGCTCTTTGATCAGTGTCTTGTTGATGAATGTGGCGCTGGTGGAAAATGTGTACCAGCACAACATGTAGAACATCGCCTGGTGTTGGGTGTCGTCAACTACCACCGGTAGTGTCTGCGACGTAGGACACGTACTTGGTACGGATTGTCGGACGACCAACTGGGCGACCGAAGCCGAGATGACGGCATGACGGAATCATACGCGCTAACCTTGGCATCCAAGGCAGGAGCCTTCGACATCATCCCCACCAGCATGACCATGTCGGCACTGGCCAACGAACGACCTGTCAAGGTTGTAGTGAAACCTCTGCTTCGATTTGTCGTAACTTCGAACTTCGGTTTTGCAACCACATTCTGTACCCTCCCTCATATCGGTCAACCAGCATCATCCCTGCGGTAACTTAAGCTTACTGTCCATAGCATGTCCATCAATACATAAGCTTCCCACTCTCTCCATGTAAGCTGCGTCCAACATGATGGTCCTTGGCATCCAAGAAGTTCCTCCCAAAGGGAAGTCAATCAGAAATTGCTCGAGTCGCGAACAAGGAGTCGCGGCCCGACACTGCGTGTTTGTATCGTGGTTTGTCAGCAAGTTACACCTCACCAGGCGTTCATTAATGTAACGAGCTCCCGTCGACAAGGACTGGTCCATCTCCAGTTCCAAGTGGTTTCAATCCCTGTAAAGATGCATTGATTTCACTACTGGGAGTTGGTCTATCCTCATTGGTCAGAAGTCCAATGCAGTACTCCTACGTATGACTGCGGTCTGTGACCATATATGGCCGCAACATCGGCATCCACGACGTCTCCATAGAATCCCCACAGCAGTGTGAGCAGTATATGTTTGGCTTATGGACGGGTCGGACGAGGCGGCGGCGTCGCCGCAGCTTGGTCGTTTTATCTTTTTTCTGATTTTTAACCAATCAGAAACGACGTTCTAAAAATACGTCGAACTATTCTAAAAATTAGGAATGGCCAATGAAGCGCCAGTGCAGTACTGTCTGTATCCACAACGATACTGAACTTGGCACGATATTTGCCGCCGCCTGCCGCCTCTCCAAGCAGGCGATTCCGACACGACAACCGCGCAGCATGACCCCGAACGACGCAGATGAGTACACAGGAGACGACAGCATCAAGTCGTCCACGACAACCAAGCAGCATGACGTGCCCAAGTTCTTGCTACAGCTGTTTGACATTCTCGAAGCCGAATCGTCGGCCGTGATCAAATGGGCCGACGACGGCGGGTCCCTCCAAATCCTCGACCCGGTGCGAGCCACGCAGGAGATCCTGCCTAAGTACTTTAGCCACAACAACTTCCAGAGCTTCCAGCGGCAACTCAACTACTTTGGCTTTCGGAAATGGACCAAGACCAAGACGTACATTTGCACGTTCAGTCACCCGTGCTTCAAGAAGAACGAGCCCGACAAGTTGCAGCTGATCAAGCGCAAGTCCGTCCCCAAGCGCACTCGCATCAACGGCCACCTCGTGACGGAACGACGCCCCGTCTTCACCAAGAAGCGGAGTACGGACGGGAGCAGCACGAGCACCACTCCCTGTCCCATCCGGCCGTATGGCCTTCCGCTAGGTCGACCGCCGCCGGCGATCTTAAGCGAAGAGATGAAGGTCTCGCCGGCAGACATGCTCTTGTTTCCCAAGCAACCCGCGCTGCCCAACCTGTGCAAGATCCGAAGTAGCCTCATGCTTCGCCTCGAAGCTACGTCTCCGCCACTCAAAATATCCCCGATGGCACCCAAGCACGAGTTCATGAGTCAAGTGCACCCCGTGATGACGGACCGCAGCGAAGAAGACCCGGTGAATCTACTCCTCGGGATCAAGCAGGCCTCTCCGCCAAGCCCGACAACAACGCACCCCCAAGTGTCATTCCACTCCCAGCAACTACCGGAGCAACGCGCACATTCGCCCACAATGCAAGCCCAGCTGGCGGCAGCACTGGACGAAATCGCGCGGTTGAAAGCGACCTTGCAAGACAAAGTTCGAGAAATCGAATGGTTGCGAGCCCAGTGTCACAACGCCCCCCCAGGTTAACCAGTACTAGTACTAGTTAGTACTGTAACAGTAGAGTTCCATCCTTGTACTACAATCTCAATGGTCAAGTTAATGGCGGCAGGCACCCGGGTACCGCGGCACGGCGATGGCGTCTCGGATGTTCTCCATCCCTGTGACGAACAGCACGAGGCGCTCGAACCCGAGGCCCCATCCCGCGTGCGGCACTGTCCCGAAGCGACGGAGGTCCAGGTACCACTGCAGTCCATTCGGGTCCACCCCGCTCGCGCGCATCTTGGCTTCGAGCACCTGGAGAATGACAATATTAGATTCCACAGAACAAAGTAGCCATGTTGCACCTGGAATTGGTGTATGCATGAAAATAGTGTGATATACCCACCATACAACTATCAAGTCGAAACATCACACTAATTCAGACGCACCTCGAGCCGTTCTTCGCGTACGCTGCCACCGACGAGTTCGCCGACGGCCGGCACGAGGAGGTCCATGCCGGCTACTGTTGCGCGGTCCGGATCTGCCACGTCATTCTGCCGCATGTAGAACGCCTTGAGCGCGGCGGGGTAGTCGGTCACGAACACAGGTCCTCCCACGTACGTCTCTGCCAAGTACCGCTCGTGTTCGGTCTTCAAGTCGATACCTACCACCACCACCCATCATCGTCAAACCACCATCAACAAAGAAAGCTCACCCCATTCCGGCTTAAGCTCAAACTTGACGGACGCCTGGGTCAAGACGGCAATAGCTTCCGTGTACGTCATGTGTGGGATGTCATGGGTCGCCACCGCCGTGAGTTGACTTAGTAGATTCGTGGACTGAGCTGACTTTTTGGGCGTAGATTCTTTGGCCTGCTGCTGCTCCTGAAAAAACGCCAAGTCGTCCGGACATGTCGCCAAAGCGTGCTGGATGCTGTGCTGGACGGCGCCCTGCGCGCTCGCCATGCACTCGGACAAGCCGGCAAAGGCCATCTCGGGCTCGACCATCCAGAACTCGGACAGGTGGCGGCTCGTGTTGCTGTTCTCGGCGCGAAACGTCGGCCCAAACGTGTACACTTTCGACAGCGCACTCGCGTACATTTCAGCATGGAGCTGGCCCGACACGGTCAAGTAGGCAGGTCGGCCAAAGAACGATGGAGTAGTACCTAATGTGAACCTATGAGTACTTTTGTTTTACGAGCGAGGTGAGATAATGAGTACTAGTACTAACTATCATCAGGATTGTGGGCTCCAGAGGAAGCTTCGGGATAGTCCCGTGTGACGCGAAACTGCTCGCCCGCCCCTTCGGCGTCGATCGATGTCAAGATGGGCGTCTACAAATGGCGGTTTAGTTGGTCAAGTAGTACTACCTAACTACCTACTACTACCTACTACTACTACTACTACTACTACGACTACTACTACTACTAGTGGGTTCCGTACATGCACTTGGACAAAGTCCTGAGACTGAAAGTACTGATGCAGGCCTTGGCTACATACATATACGCATGTTGGAGAGAAGGACGTGAGAACGACGGGCATACCTGAGGGCATTGCGGACGCGGGTCAAAGCGCCAAACGTGTTGGTCCGCGGCCGAAGATGGAGGTGCTCGCGGACGAACTCGAGGCCGTGGAACTTCTTGGACAGCGGGTACACGGCGGGGTCGCTCGTGCCCAGTACGGTGACGGACTGCGCGTGTACTTCCACTTGCCCCGACTTAGGAGCGTGCGTCACGGCGCCTGTGACCGTCACGCTGCTGCCCACTGACACGTCCGCCAACGACGCGGCAGGAATCGACGACGCGTCGCACACCACCTGCAGACTCTTGAACGCAGACCCATCGTTGATGGTGATGAAGCTCAAGTTCTTTTGGCGACGGATGGTCTTCACCCACCCGTACACGGTCGCAGTAGTTGTCGTGTCGGGAGTGGCGACGTCCACACGTGGAACGGTCATCAAGTCCTTGATGGGCGTGCGAGGAAACGTGCTGGCGGCGCCATGGAGGCTCCTGCATGCATGCATCCCAAGGAGGCCAGCGGAGGACCGAGCGCCGCCGCCGCCGTGGGTCGCCATTCGTTGCATCATCGCCCACACCATCAGATATTATTCGACAAACATCATGATTGTATTTCAACAGCCAATCAAATGCGTCGATGCAATTCCACCTCAACAATTGAACAGTCGTGATATTACTGTGTGTGATATGCCACCATATCTACTAGCGATCTCGCCACCTTGACCAGCCAGTCGTTCGCGCTGGACCCCAAGCAGCGTTCTACCTCAGGCTTTGACGAAGACACTCACCTTGCGGCGGCGGCTGTTGGACACGAGCTGCCGCTCTCGGGTGGAAGAAGCGAAGAGCTCGAGCTAACAACCCGCGCGTTCCAGGCGAGTCAGCGTAGCCAGCCGGCCCTCGTCGTGCATCCGAGATCAACCACCCAGATCTTAACCAGCTCTCTCATCTATCGATCGTACTCCTATCACGTGACAGCCTGACCATCCTGTCATGACACTCGAACAGTCTAAAGTCCCAAGCATACTATATTTGACAGATTGGATTTATATACTTTTTTTTGTATATGAACATAGCTGTAGTAGTAATATTATTAATAAGTAAACTTAGTATTATAAATCGTCCGTGTTATTTATTACATGCGTCCCCACTTGGGTTTCATTTTGAGCTTCTTGACCAGGCGTTCGCGGACACTTGTGGGCTGCTGCTTCTTCTTGGGCACGTCTGCGGTTGCTACTGTTGCTGCTGCTGCTGCTTTGAGCACCGGACGGACGTTCTCCCCTCCGTCCGCCGCCGCCGCCGTCCTCTTGGCTCGCTTGGACGACCGCTGCTTCTTCGAGGGCACGACCGACGGAGGACTGACATCCTGGTCATCATCGTCGTCGTCGTCGTCGTCGCTCGGCGGCTGCGGCGGCTTCCTCGCGGGTTTCCGGACCGGTTGTTGGGTCTTGGGCGACTTGACGGCTGCCCGCGGGGATTTGTCCTTGGCTTTCTTGGTGTGGGTCTAAAGTAGTTTGGCCGATAGTAGTACTAGTAGTACTACTAGGAATACCTTGCAACTGCGACACAGGTACACGTCAGGGGGTTCAGTTTCGTTGGGGATGCCTGCGCACAGCGTGTGCTGCCACGTATTGCACCTGTCGCATGCGATCATGCGGCATCCGTCGTCGTAATTGACGGCGACGATGCCGCAGCTGCAGCTCACGGTCCAGTCCACGACGGTCGAAGGCGCGCCGCCATCCTCCTATACCATATGTGTGCGTCCTAGTACTGCTACTACTAGTAGTAGTACTAGTCATACCTGAGGTACTAGACACTTGAAGCACTTGTACGACGTGGGGGGCTCGGTTTCGTTGGGGATGCCTGCGCACGCCGTGTGCTGCCACGTCACACACACGTCACATTGCACCATGCGCTTGCCATCATCATAGTTGGATCCTTTGTCACCGCAGCTGCACTCAAAGTACCATTGCTCCTACACACACCTCAAGTCAAACATCTAAATCCGCATATGGGTATCGTACCACCGACGACTTTGTCGCCTTGCGCTTGGCTTTGGAAGACGAGGATTTATTTGTCGACAGGTTTGCCGCGTCGAGTATGGGGATGACCAGCGGCGTGAGGACTTTAAGCCGGACGTTGGTTGTCACGTTTTCTCTTACAAACTTGGGGTATGCGACCGTGTCGACCTCCGACCCACTCGAGACGTCGTCGTCGTCGTCGTCGCTGCTGCTGCTGCTACTGCTGCTGCTGCTGCTACCGCCGCTGCTCGAGCCGGACGAGGAAGCAGCTGCCGTCGACTGGAGCGCGGCGAGCACGGACGCGGCGGACGGGAAGCCGTGGGCGATGGCGATGTCGGCGGCGTCGGCGGCCGACGGGTCGAGCAGCCGACTGAGCGCTGTCATGTCGGTTGTTTCTTGCGCCTTTAGGTGCGAGCACGCGACGTGCCACAGCGCCTGGTCGTACTGGGGGAACCGAGACCTTCCGTGAAGGTACCTTTCGAGGGCGACGCACTCCACGTGCGTGGGCAGGTTGAAGCTCTCGAGAAAGTACCCTTTGAACCCCACCACATCCTATACACGATCAAGTTATACAGGGGTTTCATAGGGATACACGAACAACTTGATCGAGCGTGGCGACGGCGTAGAGCCACCCCGGAGGAATCAACAGGGTCGAGCCACCGGTTAAGACCACGTGCGCACAGGAGGCTGCCACGTCACCAAAGCAGCGCTCTGGGTTGTGATTGGCTGACCAGAGTTTGAACTTGGCCAAGTTGTCACTTGTGGGGGGCACGACATACACGACTTGCTTGCCTCGCAGGACAGAGTACCACATCGACGACCCGCCCATGTTCATGTCAAAGTCGACGAAGGAATCCTTGGGCGCCATTACGCAATAGGTCGATGTCTGATGGAGCAGCTAGTCAGACTCATCAAGATAGACGGGATGTACCGGCGGCGGCGGCAGGGACCCGCTGTGGACCCAGACAGACTCGGCCCAGCCCACTTGGCGCACAAAGCGCGGCGGGGTAAGCAGGCGGGACAGGCCGGCGTGTGAGAAGGAAGGCACGGTCAACTGCTGCGTCCTTTCCGACGAGGGAGTGTTCATGTACGCTGCCCAGCGGCCCAGCGACCAGTCACCCACGGCGCGTTGCGACGTCACCTTGCAAAGGAATGTAAGAGAGAAGGAGATGATGGAGGAAGAAGGTGTCGGATGTGTGTATGTGTACTTCTAGCACAGACACGACCGCGTCCTGACCCACCACCGAGGCAAGGTCTTCCACTGTAAAGCTTGGCGAGGGAACTACGCATGGCGTACATGTCATGCTGCGTGGATGGAACATGTCATTACCTGTCAGCCCGAGACTGACCTTGTCCAACACGACGAATGGTTGTGTGAACCCCACTTCGTGGAGCTGCATGAAGGACGGCATGAGATGATCTCATCGTTGGTGTCACAGCCTACTTACCCATTCCTTGGTGACGTTCTCGCCATTCACGACGGCGGCATTGAAGTGGTCCAGCTTCGCCCACCGCGAGAGCCATTCCCGGACGTACGTAATGGTTCCACGGCCGTCCAGTTGTGAGATCTCCTCCGTCGTGTCTGATTGCATGAGGTCAGGCCAAGTCTGGAAGGATCGAAGCATTGTGGGCGTACCAGGCGGAGGCGGCATAGGCGGCGAAGATGGCGGCGGTCTCATGTTGCTGCCAGAAATTCCCCACCGATACAATTTAATTTCCACAAAATATACTCAATTTTTGTATACTTTGAGTCGCGAACGCCATAAAATTACGAGGTGTGATCCTGCGAGACATGATATTATTTGAAGCCCAAGTCCCAACTACTGTCTCACTACCTGCAACATTACATATATCCACCACATCCCAACGACATCACCACAGCTGATCGTCCTTAGATGCTTTAGTACAGCGCCTGCACCGCTTCAAGTCGCTCCCTCCGCTGGGAGGCATCAGGGAACGACGTCCATATGGCTTCCACCTTGGATTGGACCTTGACGACGTCGTCTGGGATGCGGCGGTGGAACGTGTTCGCGTACGACGTCCACAAGCGCGGGTTCACCAAGGTCAAGAACGCTCGGACGATCGTCTGGCGCCATGCGCTCATGCTCGTGTCCCACTGCATGAGCAGCGCCTTGTCTGACGGGGATTCCGCCACAAGCATAGACGCATGCTGGACCTGGGTGTAGATGCCTTCGAAGGCCGGTTCGCACGAGATGGTCGTGTAGAACGCCTCGTCGAACGGCGGCAGACTGCCGTTCCAGCGCGTCATGATGTCGCGCAAGGGCTCTGGCAGGTCCGCCACGTCTTCCCCGCCCGGGACGGTCGATGGTGTCGATGCATCGAACTCCAAGGCGGCATAGGGACCATGGCGCTCCACGTACTGGATGCACTCGTCCGACTCCAACGAAGATACCGCGCGCCGTCCACTCTGCGAATTTGTGCGTGTTAATATAAATAGAATATAAGTGAAATCACGTTATACAGAAAAAGAAGGTTCAACAACGTACAGCGTTCATAGCCATCAAGTCGATCGACGGGTGCGCCAACATCACGCGCAAGTGAGCGACGGACACCGCGGCGGCGTTGTCGCACAGCGCATGCAGCGGCGTATTCCCGGTCTAACACAGCATGAACATGACTCTACATATACATGTACAGTACGTTGTCTGGAAGGTTCGGGTCAGCGTGCGCGGCCAAAGCGAGCGTGAGCATCGTCGGCGTGACGCGGACGTTTTGACACAGGTAATGCAACGCAGATGCCTTGAACTAAAGAAGAATGAATGGAGAAAGTACGTGAATGAGATGCAAGTACCTGGTTCTGGGTCGTCCATGCGCCAGGACGGTATGTGCCCAGAAGCGCGTCGGTCAGGGTGTCGTTGGCTGAAAGGGAATGCAACGCCGTGTTGCCATCGCCATCGACGGCATTCACGTCCGCGTTAGCCTTGAGCAAGGCAGACAATGCGCCTTGCGTGATGCTTTCGTTCGCACAAAGCAAGTGCAGTGGAGTCACGCGTTTGCCATCCTATCAGATCAGGTGATATTATAGTCAGTGTCTGGAAGTAACGTACAATGGAGGTGGCGTTGACAGGAGCACCGGCATCCAGAAGCTCAGAAAGACCCGCGAATGCTCCTGACGGGTTCTTGCAGAGCAAGTGGAGAGGCGTGTACCCTTGCTCGTCGATGGCATCTACCTTGGATCCTGCTGCGAGGAGGGGACCAAGACTCGTGACATTCTTGTTGTCGCATGCATAGTGTAGAGGCGTCCATCCGTCCATGTCCCATCCACTGATCGACACGCCACGAAGAAGCCGCTCTAGCTTGGACACATCGTATCGACCTTGGACGATGTCCCACACAGCATCACTGCTACTGCTCATGTGGATTTATCCAAAACTACTCTAGTACTATTAATAGTAAACGCCCTATTACTAGTCCGCATACTACTAGTATGGCTACGATTGTGTCGTGGGGTTGAGTGCCTGTCGATGGCACGGAGAAATCGGCTTCGTGATGGCGACGCCGACGGATTCCGGCCCTCCGACGAGCATCATCGTACAGGACGAGAGTTTCTTTAAGGTAGGTCAGCATGTTCCTTCCGTGAGAGCTTCCGCAGACACCAAAATGGACCCACTTCCTCGCGCTCCATCGTCAGAGTGGGCCGTCAAAACTTCCTCGAACATCCCTCGAATAAAACTCGATTTCTCCTTTTTATATACAAACACCAAGGTAATATAGGATTTTTGTATATTAATACGTTCTAAACTTCGATCGACGAGTCGACGCCATCAGTGTTCAAATCTCTCGGCATGCCCCACCGACGCCAATATGGAGCGGTCGCGTTCGCGGCGGCGCTGCTCTTCGGCACGAGCACCATGCACACGTCCAAGTTTGTGTACAGCATTCATAGCTTCGGCCTTGAAGAAGTCCCAAAGACCTTTGAGAAGCCTCTCATGCAGACATTCCTCATGTTTGTCGCGATGGCGCTCGCCCTTGTCGTGCACGCCGTGTCCCAGTGCTTCGTGCCCAAGGCAGACCGGTATGTGTTCCGGTGGGCGTCCACACTCAAGCTGTGCGTTCCCGCAGTCGCGGACCTCATCGCCACGGCCCTCGGCTGCGTCGCACTGCTCTACGTGAATGTGAGCTTTTTCCAGTTGGCCAGATGCACGATCATCATCTACGTCGCGACTCTCAAAGTGATGTTCCTCAAGTTTTCCATGACGGGGTACATGCGCTTTGGCATTTTGATCCAGTCCGTCGCCATCGTGCTCATCAGTGCGTCGTGCCTCGCCAGTGCAGACGACATGATCCGAACTCTGGTGGGTGTGGGAGTGCTCCTCTTGGCATGTCTCACGTCTGCGATGCAATACGTATTGGAAGAAGTGTTCATGAAGAAACCGATCAAGGCGGAAGGGGAAGAAGGAACGGACATCGTCGTGGAGGTGCCGAACCCGCCGCTGGTCGTGGTCGGCATGGAAGGAGTATGGGGGACGCTGCTCATGCTCTTGGTCGTGATGCCCATTGCATATGCGATCCCCGGCGCCGACAACGGCCGCGTCGAAGACTTCTTCGACTCCATCGAGATGATGCAGAACAGCGCCAAGCTGACGTATTACTGCGTCCTATATGTGATCTCCATCACGGGGTTCAACGTCGCGTCCATCTACGTGACGTTCTTCCTCGACTCCGTCTGGCGCTCCATCCTCGTCAACTTCCGACCGGTCGCCATTTGGGTCACATCCCTCCTCTTCTACTACGTCTTCACCAACGGCACGTACGGCGAGACCTGGACGAACTGGAGTTGGCTGCAATTGGGCGGGATGCTCCTGCTGTTCTTCGGCACGGCCGTGTACAACGGCAACGCCAAGCTGCATCGCTTCTTCTCGTATTCATCGGACACGAAGAAGGGTAGCAAGGACGACGAGCACGAGAAGACTGGCGTCGTGTCGGATGAGAGCGACAGCGATGGCGTCGTCGTGTCCGTCGCCGCGCCATCGATCGTCGTTGTCGTGGCGAAAGCTTGAATCTCCCGCATTATTATCACAATTTAATATCAACGTCCATGTTTTATGGATCTTCGAACGAACGGTTTTCCGGATAATGCAATGCCCCATACATTTGACAAGATGTGGCCCACTTCAAGGCAGTCATTTTATCCGGACAATACTGCGCGTCACCATGCATCACGAGCGCACTTTTCATTTCGCCATGTCCAAGCCATTGTCGGACGCGACCAAGAAGAACTTCGCGGCGTTCTGCTTTTGCTTCGCGCTGCTCATGGGCACGGGCTCCACGCTCTCCAGCAAGGTACATCGTAACATTGCTGCATCTCTCCTACATTGAGGTCATGACGGCGTGTAGATCCTGTACGGGCTCGAGAGCGAAGGACGAGACGGGACTGTCAAGTACTTCCAGAAACCGTTGATGCAAACGTTCATGATGTTTCTCGCCATGGGCATTGGTATCGTCACATGATACAACCTCATGCATGTGCAGCATCTCACGACGATGGACATGTGTAGCCATTCCAGTGCAATTCTTGTACGTGCGGCTGTCGGGCAAACACGACTTGATGCCCAAGTTTGACCGCGAAAGCATCATGATGCTTGCGTTTCCTGCGTGCGCAGACTTGGGAGCAACTGCTCTCATGAGCGTAGGGCTTCTCTACGTCCCTGTCAGTACTTTCCAACTCGTGCGATGCACCATCATTGTGTTTGTGGCGGCGTTGAAGATGCTGTTTTTGAAATTCCAGCCCACGGCATACATGAAGTGTGGGATCGCGCTCAATGCAACGGCAATCCTCATGGTGAGTGCGTCGTGCTTTGGCGAAGAACACGAATCAGCGTCAGCACTCGTCGGCGTCAGTGTCCTGCTCCTTGGCTGCCTTGTCACGAGCAGTCAGTACGTCCTGGAAGAGACCGTGATGCGAAAGAAAGACGGAACGCCGCCCATGATGGTCATTGGACTGGAAGGACTCTGGGGGACGTTTCTCATGCTCACGGTGGTGTTTCCCATTGCGTACTTGGTGCCGGGCGCCGACAACGGCAGTGCCGAAGACTTTTTCGACTCGTGCCTGATGATCTACCACAGCTCGACAGTGCGCAACATGTGCACCTTCTACATCCTCTGCGTGACCTCGTTCAACATTGCGTCCATCTTCGTCACGTTCCTCCTCGACTCGGTGTGGCGCTCCATCCTGGCCAACTTCCGGCCGGTGTCGGTCTGGTCTATGGACCTTGCGCTCTTCTACTTCTTTACGAGCGGATCGCTTGGAGAAGCATGGACGAACTGGAGTTGGTTGCAGTTGGCAGGCATGCTCCTTCTCTTCTTTGGAACAGCCGTGTACAATGGAACAGTGCAGCTGCGGTGGTTTGACTACGACGGCGACGGCACCACGAACATGCAAGGAGTGGCGAATGCTTCCACGCCTCTCTCTGTGGAGCTGACCAAGAGCCCGCTTTACGGTACGGCCGCCATCGCCGCCACCCGAGCCGCCGAGGAGTCGAAAGCCCTCCAGTCCTTGTAAACAAACAGTTGAATTAAATACAATTGCAAAAATAGACTTGTTTTCAGTATGCACAATCAGGCACCGTTGCCTCTAATCTTTCTCGACTAAAAAACACTTGAGATTTGTATTGGGTCGGAAGAACAGCATTTTATTGACCAGTTTTGGGGCGGCACTTGCCAATTTTGACCGTGACGAACCAAAGGAGAACAAGTGCATGACATTCAACGGGTTTGTTGACCGGTACAAGGTCGCAAAGGACAAAGGCGCCGCGAGTCCTCGTCCTGTGGACGGCGCATTACACCAGCATCAGCACATGCGTGGGGAACAACAGGATGCATGGGATGGCGAAGTGGTGGTGGTTGAAGCAGTGACCCGAAATGATCCTTCCGTCGTCGACAAGAGCCTTGGATCGATGGCGATCGACATTTCACGTGCGAACGCAACGGACGGCGGTGATAGTACTCCCATCGCGGCCACGACGAATGGAGGATGGGGACAGGCGACGTCAATCCCGTCCGACGACGTTTGGGTGGAACCGCCGCCACCAATGCCAACATGGGATGAGCCATCGACCACCGCTCCTGCTTCTATTCCGACTCCTACCCCGACTACAACTACGTTTCCATCCAAGACCACGGGAAAGGACAGCGGATGGGGCGATCGCTCATCCAACACCAACGCCGCACCTCCTTCGTCGCACACTACTAGTAGTTCCACCAAATCTCCCACGTCGAGCTGGAAAGCGCAAGCGTTGGAGTCGTTCAACCATGGCACGATGAAGGACGAGCGGGAAGAAGGCGAAGAAGTCGACTCCACTCCGTCGACTGCACGGACGAAACCTACCAAGGCGCCGAAAGAAGCGACTTCTGGATGGGGACCCGTCACGACGTCCGCCGCGGCCGCCAGCAAAAGCGGATGGGGCCCTCCGCCGACAACATCAGCACCACGTCCGTCGTCTGGGGGGTGGGAGATCCCCAAACCCGCGAGCAGTGCTCCTACCAGTACCAGTCGACCTACAACTACGACCAACTCTACGGCTAGTAGTAGTAGTAGTACTACTACTGGCGCGTCCGCGTCGAAACAATCCACAGAACACCCCAATCCCAACAAGCACGCCACGAGGGGTGCTAGTAGTACTAGCAGCGGATGGGGCGAGACTGCCAAGGCAGCTGCGAAACCAACGGGTGGCTGGGGGGACTTGCCAGCTGCGAAACCAACGGGTGGGTGGGGCGACTTGCCAGCTGCGAAACCAACGGGTGGCTGGGGCGACTCGGCAGCTGCCCCTCCATCCAAGCCCCCCGCCCACTCCAGTTCGAACGGCGGCGGGGGCTCCAGTTCCTCCAAATATGGCAGCTCCAGCGATGCCAAATATGAAAGTGCGTCGAAGAGAAGCACGAGCAGTGGCGGCAATTGGGGTGGAGACCAAGACCAGCCCCGCCATGCCTCCTCTGGCGGCAAGTACGGTCCACCTGCGTCTCTGAGCAGTCCGCGAGGGGGAGGTACTACTATTAGTACTACTACTCACTCGACGCAACCCAACGACGTCAACTACGCCAAGCCCACCCAACCAACCTCGTCTAGTAGTACTAGTGGCTGGGGCGACTTGCCAGCTGCGAAACCTACGGGTGGCTGGGGCGACTTGCCGGCTGACAAACCAACGGGTGGCTGGGGGGACTCGAAAGGGACTTTGAAACCATCGTCCACGTACGGCGGTAGGTCGAATGAAACCAGCGCCCGCCATGCCTCGTCGGGTGGCAAGTACGGTCCGGCAGCCCCGTCCAGTACTTCCAGTAGCAAAGACACCATCCAACGGCCTCCTGCCTCCCACAGCACCTCCAACAACGACAAGGCGGGTGGTGGATGGGGCGACAAGGCGGCCAAACCGAGCTCTGGGGGGGGATGGGGGGACCTGCCAACAAAGGAGCCGCTACCCAGCAGCGCCGGGGGGTGGGGGGACCTGCCGACAAAGGAGCCGTTACCCAGCAGCGCCGGGGGCTGGGGGGGGGGCAGCGGCAGCAGCTCGTCCCACAACCCCCCACGAGGCGGCAGTGGGAACTCTAGACACAACGAGGCAGCCAACCGCGGCACCTGGAACGACAGGGACAACGGGCGACGCAGCCAGTCCCAGTATAAACAGCCCCCCTCGGAGTACGGAAACAACCGCCATCACGACAGCCACCGCCGCGAGCCATCGGTGTACAGACCCAACCACGACCGAGGGGACAAGCGACCCCCCCCGAACAGGCGCAGCAGGTCTCCGCGTCGGCGCGACGACCGACCCGACAACAAGCGGCCGCGCCATGCGCCTCCCCCGACAAACAACTACTCGCCCCCGGACTCGCCCGTGTCGTTTGGTGGCGGCGGGTACTCGCCCCCGCCTCCCCCCCCGTCCTCCCGCCACCGCGCGGATCCGTCCGGCCGGTCCGCATCCCGCCACCGTCCCGCGCGGTCGTCGTCGCGGCACCCCTCGAGCCGGTCCAAGTCGGTGGCGCGTCCTCAGAAATGGAACGCGCCGTACGATGGCCCCCCGCCCGACTACTTTGACGACGGACCAAACGTCGCCGCCGGCAACATGCTCAACAACATCATGGGCGAGGTGGGCCAGGCCAAGATGGCGTACGACATCTCGAGGCGGTCCGTGTCTCGGCACCGACGCAGCGTCAGCCGCCACTCCCACTTCTCGTCGGACCGCCGAACCATCCCCACACGCCGGATCGAGGTATCGACATTTGACGTGTGTGAGGGACGGACATTTCATTGGTGTGAGATAATCATAGGCGCCGCGCAACCCGGACGAGTGGCTATTTTCGTTGATCAAAGGCAAGATGATGGTGCAATGTCGCGCGATGCCCACGGCGCTGGCGTTTACCCGGCAACCCACGTACGTGGACCTGATTCCATCATGTGTCTGAGTCTGAGTCTGAGTCTAGGCCCCGCGAAGTGCACATCACGCAGCAGCCGTCGTTGAAGCACTTTAATTCGTTTATGCACTTGGAACACAAGCTCGAGTGTCCGCACTGGATCTATGAACTGTTCCCCCAGACCCCCGCGGACGCGCGCGCGTACGACGAGTTCCTCACGTATCTCCTTCGAGGTTAGTACTACTGGTCCACAAAGTTGTGATGGAAATGGGCCAATATTTGACGAAAATGGGCCAATATTTGACCGAAATATTTGAATATTTGATGGAAACTGGTCAATATTTGGTGGAAATGTTTGAATATTTGGTGGAAACTGGTCAATATTTGGTGGAAATGGTTGAATATTTGATGGAATGGGTGCAATATTTGATGCAAACGATGCAATATTTAATGGAAACTGGTCAATATTTGATGGAAATGTTTGAATATTTGATGGAAACTGGTCAATATTTGGTGGAAATGTTTGAATATTTGATGGAAAGGGTGCAATATAATTAGGCCGGTCGGACGCGTGTGCGGGCATGGCGCTGGACATTCAAAACTACAAGGTGATCATCTTACCCCCTGGCCAAGAGGCGCGGTTCGTGGGCTACGAAAAGACTCAGATGGTCGCTATTATCCGCAAGAACCTGCGGCATCCGTCCAGTCGACCCAAGTCCAAGTAGATGTTTGTTACTTACCTACTAACTACTCCCGAGTACATAGTAATGGCAACCAAGGTACTAGTAGTCGTTAGTTGTTTAGTGTCTACGTTGTCCACTGCATATTGAGCGACGCATTCACGAGATTCGCGTCGGCCAATGGAGTCAAGTCGGAACTGACAAGCGTCGCGGGAGGGTACGACGTCCGCAACTCGAACCCCCGCGTGCGCGCTTCGGGGATCTGCAACGGGCTTTAGTACTACTAGTACTAGTACTACTCCTACTAGTCGTAATAATATACCTCTTGCTGCACAAACTGAAACAGCACGGCCACGGGCTCGGCCTTGTCGAACCGGCGCATGAGACGGGACCCGGTCGTCGTCCGAATTTGCACACGCGTCACCGTCGGGCCATCTGCGACAATCCCATCAACTCAGAATCAGACTCAGCTTATCGTACCAGCCGGTTCGTCCGGCAGACGCGGAACCGCCGCAACGGGTGACGGCGGCGGCGGCAGGTCGTCGTGGACTGTGGGAGCACCTTGCGGCAGAACTTTCACATCGTGCCCCATGTCGTCATCGGTCTGTTGCTCCATCGACGCGGCGATGGCGGCGGCCAGTTCCTCGTCTTCGGTCAGTTCTCTGGACGGCGGCGGCTTGGGCGCGACGGGTCGCACGGCGGCACCCGGCGGGTTCAAGCACGCAAAGTCCGACACTAAGGCACGATTATACGACAGAATCGAGAGGACCGGTTGCACGTACGTTTCTCGGCCATGGCGTGGGGCTCGATGTAGTCGGGCCACTCGACCACCTTTTGGCCAGTGAGGGGATCCAGCACGCACGTGATCGGCAGCTTGGATGTGTCCAGCTGGTACAATGAGCAAAACTTCTTGCAGCTGTCGGACGCAATGTAGATCTAAGAATGAACGAGGAGTTGGACAAGATAGATAGATGGTGATGGAGGGCCAACCTGCCAGAACACAAAGCCGCTCGTGACCAGGTTCTGGACAAAGTCGTCGTTCCATGTGTCCCGGTTGAGGCGAAGGCTCGCAAACACCGTGTCGTCCTGGACGTTGACCAGCAGCCACTTGCTTTCCTGCTTGGCGAGTTGCCGCGCCTACAACCAGGATGAGGACAACCCAACACATGATGGTCGACCTCGGACAATGTGCCGTAGAACATGATGTTCACGGGCGGTTGGAACAGCTGCGACAACGACTGCGGGTCGCGGGAGCGAGCGGACGTGTCGTCTAAGAGGTGCATCAGACGATGAGAACGACGTGAGAGAACCGACCGTCGTTGGTTAAGGCGTTGGAGCTGCTGCGTCGAGGGAAACTGCCGCCGATGCTGGCCACGGCCTCCGCGGCAAAGTCTCGTTGGAAGAGAGCGTCTGGACGAGAGGCAGCGGACGACGCAGATGACGAAGTGAACTGGTTGTAGCTGGGTCCCCGTCCAAAGAACTGCGACGGCAACGGATCCGCGGGGCCGCCGACCAAACGTTGGCGCTTCGACGGATCTGGCGCGCGTACGTCTTGCTGTCCGTAGGAATCGAATGGGTCGTGGTTGCCTCCACTGCTGCTCGAAGCATTTCCCCCACTTGACGTGCCGCTGCCACCGCTCTCCATGAACAAATTGAGGGCTTCGTCCATGTTCCAATTTGTGAGATCGAGGTATTGCTGCGCGGTCGTGCCGTCAGCGCCAGTGATGACCATAAAGCTACGTAGATCAACCAGGTGAGCATGATCAAGCATGTACATCCCTTTTTGGTCGAGAGACATGCATGTACCTCGCGAGACTTTCGGCGTCCATGTCGAGTTCCACCAAATGCGCAAAATGATGGAGGGAAAGGGGGACGGAAGGATCGAATTCCGTGGGCAAGAATTAAACCCCATAACGCAGTACTATAACGTTGAGGTTTTATTTCGATTTCATGTTGGTTGTCATCCCGATATTCTGTCTTTAACGCCTACGTTTTATGCGTTTTTTCAACGAGATCTGCCACTTGAAATATGATTGCAGCCCGTCAACATTGGCAATGCTGTCTCGATGCAATGCCTTGTGTCACGTGAGCTGCAGCAACCGATGGACGTCCTCCTTGGATAGATCCACTTCCCAGCGCTGCACATCTTCCGCCTTGACCACTGCGCGTGGATACACCCCCAATGGCGACTTCATGTCCATCAAGCCGAGCAACGTCTGGCGGCCATTCAATCCCCCCACGATACCTTCCACGACGGCCCTACGTCATGTGCCATGAGCAATGCAATCTGCTTCGATGCCATGCATTCATCGTGCCCTTTGGACAGCGTCACGACGGCCGTCTTGTCCTGCATGGCGCTGTAGTACCGCAGCGCCTTCCATCGACTCGCTTCCATCATGTGCAATATATAATCTTGTTGTATGGTTGTAAAGTGGTGAGCTGATTATAGTCGTCTTTTGTGAATAATTAGGCTAATTTTGTGAAAAAATAGTCACGTTTTGTGAATCGACTGACTCCCAACACTTGTGATTGGTCGAATCTTTTGAAGTTTCGGCTCCAACACACATTAGGAACTCTGCAGCCGTCGATGGGTAGCTCCGCGGACGTCCTCCGGCGATGGAGCCCCATCTTAGCGCCATTCTTCACGGTGACCACGCTCATCATATGCATCGTCATCACCAAGACCAAGGACATCTACGTCGGGTCGCTCGCGTGGCCCTACTTCTCCGACATGGGGCGTGGTAAGTCCCTCACTACTTGACATCATCTTTGACCCGACTGGCTCCAGACGACCCTGCGTACTATGTGTTCGCCACGGGCTTGTGTCTCACAGCGATCTTTCTTGCGCTCACGTGGTGCGAGCATTCCATCCTTGTCCATACCTTCCTACAGACGATGCTTCAGGACATTCAACTTCCGCCACCAAGCAACGGTCCTCGCGCACCCTGAGGCGAAAGCGACGCCTTCCTTGCTTCGATGCAGCTTTGCAGCGTCGACGATGGGTGCGGTCGCCACCATTGGATTGCCTATCCTCGTACATAACCACCCATACACCTGGTACTATTATTCACTTGTGTTCCTTCTAGTCCATCTACCGAGTATCGTACGACCACCCAGAGATCCACAATTACGCCGCGTACTTTTTCTTCGTCTTCCAAGCTGCCGCCGTATTCCTGAATGTACGCACCGTCGTCGTCGGCATGTACTTTCCCATCATGTTCACCTGGTAGACCTACGTCACACGTCGCATCCTTCACACATCGCCCACCCCCAAGATCTTCCGTACCACATGGTTTCCTCTCCGTACTACGTCTCCATGATCTAATGACATGTCCAGGCGCATCCAAGTCGTGTTTGCATCGCTCTTCTTGATCGCGTTCATCCTGTACATCCCCGTCGGACTGGCCATCGTGTGTCCGTTTGAGCGTCTGACTGTGGTCAAGGTATGCTCCCACTGTTTTCAGTCGACGACGTTGACACGGGTGTGGGGTGGTAGTGCCTCACAGAAGGCTTGGGGACGGACTACTGCGCAACGACCATCGGCTTCGACGCGACCTATACCAAACTGTACGACTACAGCAACTGCGGCGCCATCAACCAACTTCGCTCCGCCGCGCAGCTGGTGTGCATTCTCACGTTGGTGGGGTACGCGCTGTCCTTCGCAACACACAAGGACGACGACGCCGTCCCAGCCCTTCTCTCCGCACCATCTCCGACGAACGTGTAATGGACGGGGGTAGATAGCAGTAATTTGTTCTCGGTTCATTGACATGAGGGTTGTCTCAGGTCAAAATATGCCAGAATTTCGAATTTCTCACGATATTAATTTGACAATCGTTCAATCTTCACTTGGTTCCAGTATTCCGTGCGTTGTATTTCAAAACAGGTCGGTCATAAAAACTATCTTGGTCCCACCCAGATCTAGTATTACTAGCGCAACTTCGCTACATTCGTCCACGATACTATGGGATCCCACGTAGTATCTACTACGAAAAGTACAGTGTACTTCGGTTCGTACTAGCTCGAACCTGCGCTTCTGGTTTCAACGGGCAGTTGCAGAAACGAGATTACGCAGTTGTCGCTGCCGATATAAATAGACAAAGCTGAAAGGCCGACTCGTCCGACCTAGCAGCAACCGCCGACCCACCCAGACGACGTGTGGGTAGCTAGATCGTCCATCAGGAGTCCGCTGCCATCACCCAAGCACATGGCACGCACGTCCGCCATCAGCGAAGAGGTGTGGGCCAACGCCATCCGTGCCGTGCTCGTGGATAAGATGAGTCTGCGAAATGCCGCGCAAAAGTTTGGTGTGCATCACATGTCTCTGCACCGCAGAATAAAGGATCTGCGAGGCGACAAGAAACCCGAGAAGCGAGATGTCGGCAGTCGGACCCCCGTCGCGGCAGCTCCCACAACTCCGTTCATGCAGCCTGGCATGAGCATGGTCAACATGATGCAGATGAACATGGCTCAGGGCCTCGACACTACGAAGCTACCGCCGCCACCCACTCGGCTGTCGTCGTCCTCGACGTATCCGGTGCGAGCCTCCCCTCTGCTGCAGTTCCGCCACCATCCGTACGAGGGCACGTCGTCGCCGTCAACTGGGCGGTTCCCTGGAATCGAAAACGCTTCGGCCAACATGTCGGCGTGGTTCAAAGCTGTGCAGGCCGTGGAGATGGGCCATCTGGACGTCCACCAAGCCGCCGCGACGTTCCATTTGGACCCGAACGCCCTGCACGACCACCTCAGCCGCCAAGCCCCCACCTCCGTACGTCCATCTAACTCGCATCTGCATATTGCTAATACAGCTGCTGCCGAGTAGGGGCGGGAGGTGCCGGCCGAGATGTTCTTGACCCAGATCGAGACCCATGGCGTGCTCAAGGTAGTCGTGGCGCGGGCTGAGGTGGGCGTGAAGATGGACTACGACGAACTAGCCGACCTCGTCCGCCGCGTGCTGTTTGTCCGTCCAGGTCCAACGTCGGCAGGTTGGTTTGTATAACACGAAACTGGTTTCACTTGAGGGTAAGAATATGACAGCCATCTTGTAGCTGGCAACACGGGGTACTTTGAGCACGTGATGGGGTCATTCATGCACCAAAATGAGGCGCTGCTTCGGTCGACGATGGAGCTCCATGGAGGTGGGACCAGTCGGAGCCCCCAGGCGGTGGCGGCGGCGGCGTCCCCCGCGGACACGTCCCGCCGCCACCCCCCGCCTCATCCGCAACAACAACAGCAGCAGCAACTCGACCGAGCATTCACACAAGAACGCCAGCAGCACATGGTATAAACGAAGAGACCCAAGTGGCTGCATCTGACAACTAACTGTCTGTACTCGATTAGGGCGACATCTTGACTGGAGAAAAAGCCGGCGGGTACGGAGGAGCGGCGTACCAGAGACCTCACGACCGGTACAGTCCGTCGGCCAACCTGCTCATCGCGTCCAACAAGATCAACAAGCCCGATTACTACATGGAGCAGCAGCCTTCCCGCGGTGCCCGGGTAGTAGTCGCGGCGGCGGGTCCTACTACTACTAGTAGTACTAGCGACGGGCCCACGGCGAGGTAACCAAGCGTAGTGCGTGCATGCTGAGTGACGGGTGGGTTTGCATACATGTATGTAGGCCGACCAGCGATCCCCACCAGCAGCCGCCAAGATCGAAGGACGCGACGGACGACGACTTTGTCGAAGTGTAGAATAGATCATACAAAGAATAGAATCGCATATTTTGTGTTACCCATCTACACACTATTAATAGAGGTTGACCGTGATTAGTGTGGACCGCACTATAATTAGTACTTCGAAGTATAGAGTTAGGAGAATTACCCCAATTTTGAATCGAGTGAGAATTCCAGTTAGGATTAAGATCTTGATTTTTGTATGTGGGATTTGAGTCATAATATACAAGGGTTATTTCAGTACTTTCTATGACTTTATTGGGTATATAGGGCATAACGTTACACCCGTTAGTGAGGACCGCACGAATTCTGAATCCACACTAATTACGGTCAACGGTGTACCTGCTCTAATACGTTATCTATCTATACCTATTACCTAGCTATTAGGAGCGCAAGTAATTTGAGCCCCTTCGTCCCGCCACAGCCTTATCACGGCGTCCACGAGCGCACGATCTTGCGGTTCCATCGCCGACGGCGTCGCCAACTTGCCTACACAATTCCATGATATATATATATCCACAAGCAAGGGCCATATCGGTCTAAAGCGGTCGTACGCTGAAGCAGGTCGGCCAGACGCCGGCGGAGTTCGGTCACGAGCATGACGGTGCGGCCGGCGCACGGCAGTTGGATCCATTGGTCGACCGTGGCGTGGCTTGTACGATCTAGGAAGGTCGTCCAAGGATACTCCAAATGGCCTCCAAACAATGCCAACGCCAGCGGCGTCACGGCGCTCGACACGGGCAAATACACCTTGGACGACGTGACCAGCTTGATGTGATACCCCAAGTACGCCGACGAGATAGGCACTCCACAGTTGATGGACGACGGGTGCATATACACTTGTTTGCGGCGGTCCCAGAAGGTCAGCCTACTAGTAGTAGTACTAGAACTAGTCGACTTGTCTACAAACACAACGTTCGGGTACAGCCCCGCGGCGACGACGGCGGCCACGACGACCATGTCGACCGGTTTAGTAGGTTGTCTACTAGTAGTAGGCTGGACAAACCCGAGGTCTACTAGCAGCCGCTCAAACGAGGCCGCGAGGTGCTGGACCTCGACGAGCCCGACGCGGTGGAGGCAGTGCTTTTGGCAAAATGCCCCGTCCTGACGTGTGTCCTCCCACGCGAGGAACGCCGCGAGGTCCGTGAGGAGGTCGCTGTTGAGGGTCGCGAAGCCCCGCCTCGCGGCATCCACCGCGGCTTGGTGGCCATTGGACGCAACGAACAGACTCTTGGACTCGAGGATGGCAGCGACGATAGACACGGGGCGGGATACCCCAAAGATGGATGCAAACAGGAGCATCTTGCCTATGCGGGCATCCAGCGGCAGCTGCGCCAAGTGCTGGCCCAGCGGCGTCAGCGTCATTAAGTTTGTACTAGTATCGTCGGCATCATCGTCGGAGAGGGGGTTGCTGTTGGCTAAAGCACCCAATTGGACCAGTTCCGAGGTTGCGTCCTCCACCGCTTGAGAAGACGGCGGCTCGAGCATGTCCGTCCAGAACCGATCGACGGAACCTGCCTCTTGGGTCTGGAGGAGGGCGTGGAGCTGCAGCGTGAGCCCCGTGAGTGGCGCGCGGTGGATTTCGGCCACGGGCTGCGCCGACATGCCGTGCTCAAACAGGTCCCGCGGGTACAGGCGGTAGCAAGTGCCGGCGCGCACCCGTCCGGCACGTCCCGCTCGTTGCTATTGGAAAGATATTATCATGAATATATATATATATTTCCCAAATCTGCAGCCGATCCCCATCCTCGCCGCGATATGTTTGATATATTGGCTTTCCACAGACACCACAAAGTCTCAAAAGCACAAGGTAGCAGCCAATCAGCAAAGAGTATTTTTAGATGGACCAATGGGAGCAATTCATCCATGATATATATATATATATTTAGCCAATCCGATTGCAGGAAACTATCAACGTCAAATTAGTGTGATACCCAAATTTTCCATACAATATTCAGTCCAATGAATCGATTGATCGATAATCAATTCGCGAATCAGCACAAAAGTAGTCTACATTTTGGGTAAAATATATATATATATATATATATATATATATATATATATATATACCTTGGCGTTGGCCTGGGAAATCCACCCTTCTGTCAGGTACGATGTATGGGTTTTGGCATCGTGGCGCATGTGTTTGACCCGTCCGGCGTCGATTACAACGGTCACGTCGTCGATGGTGAGCGATGTTTCGGCAATATTGGTGCTTACAATCACTTTGGTCTGGTGGGGCGGCGCCGGCGTAAACACGCGATGCTGGTCTTCCGACGACAGCGACGCGTGCACGGGTACAAACACACACGCGCCCGAGAGGCGCCGGTGCCCGCGCAGCTGATCCACCAACGTCCGGATCTCGCCTCGTCCGCTGAGAAAGATCAGAATCGCGCCATGATGGTTGGTAGACGCCGACTTTAGCACCAAGTGCTCGACGAGGTCTTGGATAAGGTCATAGTTGATCACGGATGCATCGACCTTGTCCATCATGGCCAATGTATGGTCGCTGTATCCTTCCCGTGAGGGTATGTCTCGAGGTGTAGGCGAGGAGGACGGTAGCGGGCGGTGGTTGACGACATCCGCATCGCGCCACGTCAGCACCTGCGTCGACACGCGTCCGCCGCGCCCCGACACGTGGAGGTTGTACCGACTTTCAGCGTCCGTCCGGCGGCGGCAGCACCTTGATCCGTCAAACACGACATGTTGGGTCGTTTCTATTGCGTCCTCGAGGTACAGCGTGTGGACGGGAAAGAGCCGCCCGGGCACCGCGACGACCCGCGCGTCGGCAAAGTACGACAGAAACATGTCGGCATGCAGAGTAGCACTCATGAGCACGATCCGGACGTGGGAGGTGGAGGCGAGGACCCGCCGGAGCAGACCGAGAAGGACGTCCGTGTGCACATCGCGCTCGTGGATCTCGTCCACAATGACGTAGCGGATGCCGCGGAGCGTCGGGTTGGACTGCATCAGCCGCAGGAGGATGCCCGTGGTGCAGAACAAGAGGCGGCAATGATCCCGACTCTGCTTTGCCTCGAATCGGATGTGGTACCCCACCAACCCCTGGCCCACGACCTACAACCAACATGATACTCTGTCGCAGATACAACATATATAGCATAGAGATGATAGATACTCTCTGTCGCAGAGCTACAAGATTGTTTGGGTTTATTTTAAAAAATATAAAAAAAATATAAAAAAGGTTTGACTTTATTTTTTATATAGATACTTTATTTCCGCTACAATGCCTGTTTTTGAAACAAGAACAACAAGAACAAAAAATGAAATCATCCAGAACAATTAAATTGAAATTTCTTTTAAAAAAACATACGAATATTATATATTATTGATCTATTTGGAGAATTATGAAGCATGGTATCGACGACGACCACGCCAAATACATATCAATCCAAGTCGTCCAGCTCGTCAACGTCAAATTAGTGTGTGACAAACTGCAATTAGTGTAATACCAATGTACATACAAACTTCGAGTACAATGATCCATCGATATCATCCTTTTGGCAAAGAATATCAATCAATAGTAAGTAGTCCACATGCTGAGAAGGATAATATTATAAATACCTGTCCCATCTCTTTGGCCACGCGCTCTGCGACGCCGATGGCGGCAATCCGTCGCGGTTGTGTGCACACAATCATGTCATGTGATGATTGTTTGAGCATGTCACGGAGTAGAAAGTGCGGCACCTGCGTACTCTTCCCAGACCCGGTCTCCCCAGACACGAGCAGCACCCGCGTCTGCCGCGCCGTCGCGACGATTTCGTCCTCAAACGACGCAATCGGCAGCGCCCGTCGGTCTTTGAGCATGGCTTGGTACGCGTCGGTCCGGACCAGCTGCTCCAATGCGTGGCGACTTGCCTTGTGTCGTGGGTCGGCTTTTATGGCTTCTTTTTCTTTTTCTTCTTCGCTGTCCCATGACTCTGCCACAGTGTACGTGTCGTCGACTGGTTGTTCCTTGGGTGGGGCCCTCCGTTGAGAGGAGTGTTGGTCGTGTACATCACTCAGCGTATCGACTAAATCGAATAAAGCGTCGACTGTTTGAGCTTTCGTGGCCACGGTACTCGACTTGGCTTGAGCTTCGTGTGCTTGCACTTGACGCACCCATGTGATCCTATATAGTATGAAGTTGCTCACCACGTTTCTCGCAAATATATATATATATATATATATACTTTGAAATATATATAGATTTATAGTGTTTAGCAACCCAATCGACAGACGACAATCGATCTACTACGACCAATCCAAACGCAGATTAACAATAAGTAGCCAATCAAATCATCCGATTCAGTAGAATCGAATGAAATTAGTATGGGGAATTCGCTGAAAACGTCCAAAATTAGTGTTGAATCACGCTGACGTTCTGATTGGTTGAAAATACGTAATCTTTCCGTAAGAGCCAATCAAAAATCATCTCAGAATTGAATTAGCCAATAGCGTCGATTCGACGGGGTCTGGAAACTACAATATGAGACATACAAATACCAGTACAACGAATCGATCGATAGATTTGGCGAAAAACCCAAATGTAGGTCAAAGCAAGGCAATACATTTATACCACATGTCTCTGTAATATGGAGGCAGACCCCGGTAGAGCGGGAGGTGGGGCACGAGCACATACAGCGCCCGAGTGGCCACGGCGTCTTTGGCCGCGTCCGCCGTCGAGTACGCGCCGCCTGGGTCGTCCAAGCAGATGGTCAGAGCCGGAAGGGTGCCGCGCCGCTTGATCAGCACGTCCATGCGATGCCGTGTTGGGGTCGAACCTGCGGATTTCGTGTACATGGGAACAGGCCACTTTTGCTTGTGGCAGTACTCTTGCAGCTGTACCCGGGGACTCTTGCCCGTCCATTTAGCTGGCATCACAACGTCGATGGGAGGCGGAAGGGTTGCTGCCGCCGTCATAATGACTGGAGCGGGGGACGACGCCTCGAGCATCGAGAGCATGCCAAGCCCAAAGCCCTCGTCGTCGTCGTCGTGCTCGTCAGCAACGTGTACAGCAACGGCGGGGATGGTGGTAGCTGTAGGACTTATCGATGGAACTGGAGGGTCGACGGTTGTCAAGGCGGCCAGTTCAGCTTTGAGCCGACGGATTTCGCTGGTCCAGTGCGGGATTTCGTGCTTGCGCTTCTTCTTGAGCCCCTTGAGCTGCGCCGTGGCATGCGCCAAGTCCATTTCCACCTGGCGCTTCGTGGCGTCGGGGCTCAATGTTTCATCATCGTCTTGCATCGAGTTGAGGTACTGCAACGTCCATGCTTTGGCATTGTCGGCCTAGACACACGTTATAGACAAGTACGACAGCGAGAAAGGACGACCTCGCGCGGGAGAGCCTCTGCGACGGACGGTTCTACTGGAGGCGGGGATGATACCACCTCTTGAACGTCCGACTTGTCCTTGTCGGGGAGGACGATCGTGGAGGAAGAGGTGGAGGCGGCTGGCACGAACGTGAGCTGGGGCTTGGATTCACCGTCACAAGTTTGCGTGGCCGCCTTGTACGCATACGAGCGAAAGGATGACGGCAAGTCGGCACTGGAGTAATACAGACACAGGTACTGCAGGGCACCCGAGAGGTCGTGGGCGTGTGAGAGCCCTGCTTCAATCAGTTCCTTGGAAAACCCCAATGCGGTGAGTCCATCGAACGCCTTCTCCACCTTCTTCTTGGTTCGTCGGCCGCGAAAGAACTGCGTCTGTGCCGACGGCAGCTGCAGTCCGTCCCGCAGGAGCTCCTCCAAGCACTGCTCCGACTCTTCCGAGAACGCGACTCGATCGACCACCATGACGTTGTTGGCCTGTCGAATTACTGTATTGTCTCGGTGGTGGGTTATCCGGATTTCCCACTGCGTATCCGGATCTTCATCCCACACCCTTTTGAAATACGGAGAATGGAGATCCTTCCTAGTAGGACGCCGCGAAGAAGTGAAGCGACACGTTCGTCCGAGTATGCGGGATGGACGCTGGAGAGAATCTAGCATTATTATGCCTCTATGATGAAGTTACGGACTAAGGTCGCCGTAATCGAGTGTTCGATCGACAGATGCGAGTTGGTTCTCCGCTTCGGCAATGGACACTTGGATCTTGGTGGCGTGACGTGCCTACGAAGAAACTCATTCGTCAAGGCCACGGACATTGGATTCGCTTGTACCTTCATTTGCGCCATCGTAAATCGTTCCAGCAGCACGTCCATCTACAAGAATATATACCATGAGTCCCAACACCTGGCAATCATATTCGCTTTCGTTTCTACCAAGTAACGCGCCAATTCTTCCGCACTGGAATGAACAATCGGAAGCAGCGCACAATCCCCTCGAGGGAAGCTACACACAAGGGACATCCATTACATGCTATGAAGAACGAGTGATCACGGAGCTTGACATGTACCTGAATGACTTGCCGTCTTCAGTGACCAACTGTACTGTCTCGGCGTTTACGTCAATCTACAAGGCGATCGTTGAGCACCTTTCACTTTAGCCACAGAAGGACCTTCAACACGTCGCTCTTCAATGGCACGAGGAAATGTTCGTTGAGTTCGCGACAAACTTCACGGGCAACCTAATCCATACCATGGAAATGCTGTTGTGATGGAGTCGGCAATGACATGTACCTTCTTGATGTCGCCAAAGTCCACGAGGTATCCGTCGTGTCCAATGCGATCTCCAGTGATGGTAACGGACATGCGATAGTTGTGTCCGTGCAATCGTTCGCGGAAGCCCTGCAACACACACACACACATCTGTCACCACCTACCACCATTGCCAGTAGTTCGTGCACCTTGAACGCGATGAAATGCGCGGCATTGAACTTCATGTAGTCCTTGCTCACAAACACACGATACACATCCGCTGGGGCTACACATGCACACATGAGCATTCGTTCCATGCGACCTCGACCATGCGCTCGATGTCCTGCCGCGGAGCTTACCCATGGTCTTGACGTCAGCGATTTGAATTGTGTCCAAGCAACACACATCCAAATGCACTTGGGAGAGGCAAGGGTTGAACCCGTGAAACCTTATATTATGGGTGTATTTCCAAGGTTATCCGGATACGGTGGCAAGTCCACAGGTGTGACGAGAATCCCATACCGGTACTACGATGCTAAATCTCCGGGGTAAACTGCATCGCTAGTGGTTAGCTATCGCTAACCACTGAGATGCACTTAACCCCTAGTAAGAGGTAAGGTGGTCTGATCATACAAAGTTCCATATAAACCTCATTGAAACAGTATTTCGGGTCAAACCAACAGTGGAACTGTTTTAAATTATACAGGTTGGGGACTTCCAATAAACCAAAAAAAATGCTTCACTTTCCAATACTAAGCTAGTATCATGAATTTACTGTTACTTTGAAGTAAATTATTTTATCGCAAGTCAATAACAGAATCATTTGGAATTCACAGATGTTCTAGTAATTAACTCTCCAGTGAATTCAGGATTGTGTGATCGAGTGCACACTCTGTGCTGTGCGAATGACTTGAAGTGATTGGTATATTTCATTATCACAGAGTAATTTCCAATCACTCAAATGACTAATTGGATTGTAGATGTACTCACCGGGGGTAGGATGGAATCCCAGGGTACAGGGCTACGGCGAAAAGGTGTATCCGGATGTAGTAATTCCCTCATTGAAACAGTATTTCGGGTCAAAACAACAGTGGAACTGTTATACAGTTACAGGTAATGAGGGAATTATCCTTCCCACCCGGTAGTACTGTGAAAAAGTGTTTTTTGCTGTTACTGGTCGAACTAACAGTGTTAGCGGAATAAAATGCCACCGCATTCAGACTCCGTTGAGTTGACATGCAACACCAGCAGCAGCAGTATATAGCACTGGGGTCATAGCTAGAATAATGTAGAATTCCAATTTAAGAGCCATATTTTGGAGCCGCTGCCGGGAAATGGAAGCAGCTCGGCTCTGAGGAATGGGTTTCGACTTCTGAAAACTGATAATTCAAGAGGAAACACAGGTCTTTCCACGAACCAGTACGGTAGCATTGAATTATCGATTTTCAAAGTACTTCAAGTATCTATCATGTCCTCATCCTATACAAGTACGTCAAATCACCCGTGTAATGCCAGTTTTATTCCTGGGTAAGCATTTTACAGCACTTTGCAGTAAAAACGGTCCAGCACAACTATTTCCAAATAAAATAGAATCACATTTGTGGCCAAGGAAATGAACCTACCGTGACTGGACAAATATCGAAATAAATAGTTCGACCAATTATAATGTATATAGTACTCTGATTGGCTAGTTTCAAAAAATTGAAAACCAACGCGTTTCATCATTCAAACCAGGGATCGTCAACAAGATATTGACGTATCAATAATTGACAGTACTATTGCGGGCAATAATGTATTGTCCGAGCCTTCCAATATCAATAATATTGAACATATTAAATATTGTATTGTTCAATATATTGAACAATATATAAAAAACCAGGCACCCCACACCTTACAAAATCGACCAAAACGTGGTTAAAGGCATGACGCACAACATGCAGCAGCCATATTGCCTAAAATCCCTCTATAACGCAAGATAGAGAGCTTTAAAGATCCGGAGTAAAATTCGTTGGACCAACTTGCAAGAATGTGTCCTCGCCTGTGTTTGAGAGTGCAATTTTAGAGTCTCAGAACGCACGCATCAACGTGACCAGACTATTTATTGATGTCTTCACGCACACGTCGGCATTCATGTCTCGACAGGTTATCAATGAACAACGTTCACATGTTTCATTTTCGGGACTTCCAGAAGTCTACCGACAAATCAAGTGCACATCCTACTTTCGACATTATTAGGGGTCCGAAATATTGCTGGTGCTACCGATGGCCACCAACTCTAAGTTGTCTGGCGTGTCTCAGTTCGGCTTGACGTCGCTGGCGCCAACGGCGACCCAACATCATTTATCTGAAGGATGGTGATCACATCCCAGATCATTTGTTGGACGTGCCCCCTAAAGATAGATAGATGTCGTCTCCATCCCTCCAAGCGTGTGGATGCTCTCCACCATCACCACAATTTGTCGTATCATGTTACTGCATGCTACTACTCTGTTTGGCAATAATTGCAGACAAGTCGAAAAAATCAACTTCCACTTTTCCGATTAGCTTAAATTGAGTGGCTAAACGAAGTCTATCAGAAGCAATTTTAGTTCAATTTTATTTGCACACCTGCCAACGAACGGCCAATGCAAAGTTTGCAAACAAAATCCAAGTCAAACTTGACCGATGACCAGCGAGGGGCGTTGTACGAAGATCTTCTCTTGAAGAGTGTGAACAGCAGGCTTTCTCGAGTAGCGATTACAGCAGTGCCGCGAGATTTCAACGTCCACTCGTCGACTGTATCGAGCATTTGGCAACGTGGCCGTGCGACGGCGCCTGTGCCGACGTCAAGTCTCGAATGACCAATTGTGGTCGAACGAAATCCTACACAGTCAGTGAGATCGAGCAGCGCATCAAGGCAACACGTCTGGCCCAACGACAAACTTACCGTGCATTGGGAGCAGCGATTGAAGTCTCAACTTGGACGATTTGGAACTTCATCCAAAGCAAGTGGGTCACCCGACGTTCAAACTGGACAAAGCCGCGGCTCAAGCCCGAATAGATGAAGCAGCGCGTCGACTTCTGCAAGGCAATTTTGAACGACTACAGTAAGCATAATGACAATGCATTGTACAATGTCGTTCACATTGAAGAAAAGTGGTTTTACATCACCAAGATTTGTCGCCGCTTTTACCTCTGGCATGACGAAGAGAACATGCCCAGACACGTGCAATCGAAGAGCCACATCACCAAAGTGATGTTCATGGTGGTCGTGGCCCGACCTCGCAGCGACTGGGACGGAAAACTTGGCTGCTGGCCTTTAGTGGTTGGTGTCCACTCCCGCCCAACGAACAAGCGTGAATCGGCCAGCAGGCGCACTTGTCACGACGACGGTCAACGTCACGAAGCCGGTCTACCGTTCGTACAGTCTGTATCTCGTTGAGAAGGTCATTCCGTCGATCAAGGAGAAGTGGCGTTGGCTTACTGACGACAACGAAGGGGTCGTGTACTTGCAGCAGGACAACGCTCGCGTTCATGTCGCTGCCGATGGACCAACTGTTGTTGCTGCCACTGAGTATGCAACCTTCCGCATTCAAGTGCGCAACCCACCGCCGCAAAGCCCAGATCTGAATGTCTTAGATCTGGGCGTTTTCAACTCCATCCAGGCCTTTCAGCAGACGATGGAATGCAAGATAATCGATGATCTCGGGCTTGCTATCGAATTGTCGTTTGATGAGTTGGCCCCCATGATTCTAGGGAAGACCTTTGCTACACTTCATCGGGTCATAAAAGCTGTACTGCATGCGAATGGTGGAAATTCCTACAAGACTCCGCGAAGCAAGGACACGGACGATGACATGATCAACTTGGAGCTTTTGGACCAGCGCATTGAAGAGGAAAGTCGGCTCGATGAATTGTATGACCTCGTGAACAGCACAGTAGTTTAATCTTTTTAAATACAGATTCTTTGTACTTTGATTTTGTATGCCTGTGAATGTTCGTCTGCAATTACTGCATGCTACTAGTATTTACCATAGTTTTGGGGTGAAGATATGTTTTGTGCAGTGTTCCTCATGAACACCCTCGGTCTACCACAATTAGTGGGGAACATGCCGCATCCTCTGTGGGGTCAATGCCATGTAGACTACGGCGACTACGTGTCTTGGATGCATGCCTTACAATCTTGTAAGCACGTCCATTTGTGTCAACAAGCTGCCTCCGATGCATGTTGTGCACGTACAATGGCCCACCGAGACTTCTCGAGGGTTCAAGCTACTCAACATTGAGACACAAACCTTGTACTCATGTATGCCTTCACCCCTGGGGGGTAGATGGATGATACCTCGATCTTCATTTGGGGATGCTGTCACGCCTCCGCCTTCTGCGTTTGGGGTGGCGATGACCACCACACCTCAACCCAAACTTGGGGAGGCTCTAGTTTGTGATTCGGCGTACGCAATTTGGCAAGTAGATGTCATACTAGAAGTACTAGAGACTACTCTAATTGTTCCTTCGGGAGGCATCAACTTTGCCATACTCCGACTTCCACCACGGAAGTTGTCCACAATTCCAACGTCCAAGAGTCGTCGATCGTTGTCGAATTTTCCGTGCCAATCGGCCTCGATGATGACGAACTGGTCTTCATGAATCTCTCTGCTACATACAGGAAGCCATGCGCGCTATATGATACATCCAACGAAAAATTTCGGGGTTTCGTCATAGGTAGTGTGTATGGTCACCCCATCCGTGTCATGCGCATGTAGACAGTGATTACGCCCATTGTGTTCGTGCGTCGCTGGTTTAGTCATATTTTACCTAGTCTGCGATATATCGGATCGCTAAGAGAATGCGAAGAATCGTCTTCTCGACAACGACGCAGCGCTTATCCTTCTGTGCACATTTCTACTAGAACGCCTGCGCTCAAACAGGCAGTCTATGACATGGGACATCCCATGACCACACCAAATCCTCTATACGAGGTCAATAAGATCATCATACAGATCATGAAACACTCTGGATCCTATGGGCGTACGAATCACATTGACCTACGTAACCATTATAAGAACTACCCCATCGAACAATAGTTTTATGTCTTGTCTACACCGATACACGCCCCGAGGTCGCGTAAACCAATTCACTAGATGACACAATGTTCTGCGCTCTGCGTAGTCAACTACGGACGGGACAGTTGTCGCCCTTCAGCATCCTCAGGCAAAAGCCAGGTAGCACGAACTCCGGTCTCTTGGACGGTAACTGAGCCGACGTACCAGGGAGTACCCTGAAGCATGATGGCTCGACATCGGCCTCCAGGTGGTTACTCGATCCATCTGGCCCTTCCACGGCATGTTGTTTGACACGGGCCAAATGGTAGGGACCCGCTGAAAGGGATGTCCGACGAGTTGAGTCGCGGACATAAGACGGTATAACGATTGGTGGTACATGTCGTCCTTCCCAAGTTTACAGTGAACAGTGCTTTTCTCCACTTTACCACTCTTACTGCCACAAGAAATGTCCGAAATCGCCTCTTTTTGCAACTTATCATAAATATTAGGACAATTTTTCAAATGACAGCTTTTGTGTGTTTGTCCAATAATTCCACGTGGGATTTCCTGGTTGAAGAGGTCCAAAACGCCATATTACAAAATGGATGCGTCTGGTAACATCTCAAAAATAATACTACGTAGTACTCCATTTTCTGCCAAAATGGGGTAAACCAAAAATGTCATTTTGAAAATGAAGGTAAAAGGTCCATTTTGTAATGTGGCGTTTTGGACCTCCTCAAGTCCCTAGTAAATCCCACTCGGGAGGATTATTGGATTTGGGTTTCAAACTCTTAAGAGCGAGCCCAAGAAATCCGGTTAACGCAACGTTATCCGAAAAAGGTACCTCCAGAACAAACCTGTCAAAGCTAATATCGCTCGGTGGCAAACCTACAACTTCAAGGAATTCTGTGTACCCCGAGCCCTGCCGAATAATTCAACCAATCAATGAACGTCCTTAATACGGGTGGGCCAGAAAACATTGATTCCGAGAGGTATCTGGCAAAACAACCAATCACAATACGCGAATGGAAATAACTTGCCTTTTGTATCCAATTGATGGAATGTGCTGGAAGGATTGGCCGAATTTTCTCGAAAATGACTGCGGTCAAGGCGGTGGAGTGTGTCGATGATCATTTTCGATTTTTCATCCAAAGCCAACATGTCTGGAGTCCAAGGCGCAAGTGTCGGTATCGATCTCGGCACGACCTATTCCTGCGTGGGTGTGTGGCAGAACGACCGTGTGGAAATCATTGCCAACGACCAAGGTAACCGCACGACCCCTTCGTACGTGGCGTTCACGGATAGCGAGCGCTTGATCGGTGACGCCGCCAAGAACCAAGTGGCGATGAACCCGACCAACACGGTGTTCGACGCCAAGCGTTTGATCGGCCGCAAGTTCAACGACTCTGTGATCCAAGCCGACATCAAGCACTGGCCGTTCAAGGTGACGCCGGGTGCCGGCGACAAGCCGCAAATCACGGTCGAGTTCAAGGGCGAAACCAAGACGTTCCAGCCCGAAGAAATCTCGTCGATGGTGTTGATCAAGATGAAGGAAGTGTCGGAAGCGTTTATCGGTTCCACGGTGAACAACGCCGTCATCACGGTGCCTGCGTACTTTAACGACTCGCAACGCCAAGCGACCAAGGACGCCGGTGCCATTGCTGGCTTGAACGTGTTGCGTATCATCAACGAACCCACGGCCGCCGCCATCGCGTACGGTTTGGACAAGAAGGGTGGCGAACGCAACGTGTTGATTTTCGACTTGGGCGGCGGGACCTTTGATGTGTCTTTGTTGACGATCGAAGAAGGCATCTTTGAAGTGAAGGCCACTGCCGGTGACACGCACTTGGGTGGTGAAGATTTCGACAACCGTTTGGTGGACCACTTCACGGCTGAGTTCAAGCGCAAGCACCGCAAGGACATGACCGCGAACCAACGTGCCCTCCGCCGTCTGCGCACGGCCTGCGAGCGCGCCAAGCGCACGCTGTCGTCGTCGGCGCAAGCGTACATTGAAATCGACTCGTTGTTCGACGGCATTGATTTCAACAGCACGATCACCCGCGCGCGTTTCGAAGACATGTGCGGTGACTACTTCCGCAAGACGATGGAGCCTGTGGAGAAGGTGTTGCGCGACTCGAAGTTGTCCAAGAGCCAAGTGCACGAAGTGGTGCTTGTGGGCGGGTCGACCCGTATCCCCAAGGTGCAACAGTTGTTGTCTGACTTTTTCCAGGAGCAAGGAGCCGTGTAAGTCGATCAACCCCGACGAAGCCGTGGCAAGCCGCGATCTTGTCGGGCAACGACAGCTCGGAGAAGTTGCAAGACTTGTTGTTGCTGGACGTGACGCCGTTGTTGCTCACGTTGGAAACGGCCGGCGGTGTGATGGCGACGCTGATCCAGCGCAACACGACGGTGCCGACGAAGAAGTCACAGACGTTTTCGACGTGCGCGAACAACCAGTCGGGTGTGCTGATCCAAGTGTTTGAAGGCGAGCGCTCGATGACGCGCGACAACAACTTGTTGGGCAAGTTTTCGTTGGTTGGACGGGATCCCGCCCATGCCCCGCGGCGTGCCGCACGTGGACGTGACGTTCGACATTGACGCGAACGGGATCTTGAACGTGTCTGCGATCGAAAAGTCGACGGGCAAGGAGAACAAGATTACGATCACGAACGACAAGGGTCGCTTGAGCAAGGACGACATTGAGCGCATGGTGCAAGAAGCGGAAAAGTACAAGTCGGAGGACGAAGCCAACAAGTTGCGCATCGAAGCCAAGAACGGGCTGGAAAACTACGCGTACAACCTGCGCAACACGCTCAACGACGAGAAGCTCCAGGGCAAGTTGGACGAAGCGGACAAGAAGGTCGTGGACGACAAGGTGACGGAGACGATCAACTGGCTGGACGCGAACCAATCGGCCGAGAAGGAGGAGTACGAAGCCAAGCAAAAGGAGCTCGAAGGCGTGGCCAACCCGATCATGCAAAAGCTGTACGCGGCTGGCGGCGGCGCCCCCGGCGGTGTGCCCGACTTTGGCGCCGCCGGCGGCGCCCCGCCCCCGGCCGCCAGTGCCCAAGGCCCCAAGATTGAAGAAGTCGATTAAAAATCGTCTATCTTTCCGTACTAGTATAATATAAAAGGATACGATTGAAGTTTACTTTTTCTACGGGTTGTGGAGCAAATGGGACTAATTTAAATTGGTTTAATGGTTGTGAATTTGATTACTTATGGATCAAACCCCGAAACCTCGTCTTTGGTTGGCTCGTTGAGGCGCTTCGCACTTAGTGTATATGTATTGTGACGGATTAATCTATTGCGACTCCTGTAATAACTGATAGTTTTCTTGTAATAGCTGATATTTACTAGTGAACATGTTGAATACTTCGAAGTATACTTCAAATTTGTATGACGCAATGGATTAACAAAAGTTTGAGAACGAGTGTCTGCTAGTTGTGAAATATCACCTGTCGCAATACATATACAGTATACGGGTATTGATATTTAGAAAGTGAAGCAAACAATATCCTGTTGTCGATAGAAACGGGTAGTATTTTAATAGTATAACGTAGTATTTTAATAGTATAACGTGACGGATCAGTGATTTGCCGATTTTGAGCTCCATGACCAAACAGGCGATCGGTGATTTGCCGAAATTTAACCTTGAATTCAGTATTGGCTTTGGAATTTTACGGCTTCGTTGAAACAAACTTATTGATTTATAGATCAATATTATATGTACGAAGTAATCATATTTAACAGGTCATACTTGATTTTAAAACAGGTGATAACCTATTTAAAATAGTACTATACCCATCATAACGTTTTGAAGGTGTCAGTTGTTGCAGGCTTTTATTTTATCCAATCATATCAATTCTTGAATTCTATTGGGTAGTGCAGCTCAGCAAATCACCGATCTTTCGGCAAATCACAGATCCGTCACGTTATATATGGTGCATTTCAACTAAAGACTACAAAAAAATGCCTTGTCTTTCGACAGCTATTCCAACTTTGCATTGATATTTTTAGGAAAATAAGCCGTAATAACGATAGAACTGGTCAAGACCAACAGAAGTTACGGTTCAAAATTTCGATTGGTGAAAAATTGATGGAGTAATAGAATTTAAACCAACCAGCCTTTTTGTATAGAAATATATGGAGCCAGGCACATTTTGGCCGAAAAGGAGCATCAAGTATATCTTGGTCTTTGTATACAGCACTTATCCGTATGAACGTTTCCATTGTATCCGTATTATTCAGGATGTTTAACCTATTTACCAGATAAAAAACGTAAGTAAAACGTCAACATTCCTGGGGTTGAACTGAAATAACCGAGGCGTTTAATAGTAAAACGTCTCCGGCCGATCTGTAGTCTTTACTGAGTACAGTAGATGAAATGCACCATAGATTGCCTTATTCGACGTCGTTCGTTTCCGGCTTGGTGGCGTCGTCGAGTCCGATTTCTCGACGCAGTTGGGTGGACCATACGTCTTTCTTGTCATTCGTCGGGTTGCTGGGCGCGCGCGTGGTCAAGCTGCCCTTCTTCTGCGGACTTCGACTCCCGCCGCCGCCCTTTAGGAGGTCGTTCTTGACGTCTTCGATGATGCGCTTGCCCTTGGGGGACATGACGTGCCCTCCCACTTGATGTTGCTCTTCGTCGCGTCGTTTGCCTTCGTCGTCGTCGTTGCCTTCTAGTACGTGACTGCCGCTTCCGTCCCCCGACACCACTTGCATGCGGCCGAGCAGTTGAATGTCGGGCTTGACGCTCTCCGCCGACGCCAGATGCACGACAGGGAATTCCCGCTGCTCTACGCGCAATGGCTTGTGCAAGTGCCACGCAGCCAGGAACTCGACGGGAGCCAACTGACAGCGCTGACTCGCAAGGAACGCGTCGGCCCACTCCACTTGCTGCACCTGGCGCGTCAACTCCAGTTCTTCGCACCGCAGCAGGTCCATCTTCGCCTTCGCCTCTTCCTCCAGCCGCGCCAAGACGACGTCCATGCTGCGACGCACCTGCACTTCCACCTCCTGCCGGTTGGCCGCGATGTCCATCACTCGGTCTCTGATCTGCTTGAGTTTGGTCCCAATCATTGCCTTCCTCGTCTCGATGAGCGGGTCAGGCTTGGCCGACTCCTTAATGCTCTGCTCGTACGCGTCGAGCAAACTCACGAGGCGGTGGCCACCTTTGTCGCCTGCCGAGTGATCTCCCACCATCTTGCAATGCACACACACCGGGATCCCGCACATGCCGCGCAGTAGAATTCCACGTTCTTGGACTCATGCTGCAACCGCAGAACAATCAATCAAGTTTTTAACGATAAAAATTCATCGAAATGAGATTAAAATCCCCAGAAAAATACAATTTTTACAATATCACTGTGGAAATGTCGAAAAAGGAAATTAGAACAATCACATGACAACATACCAGGCGGCACGGAACGGGAGGAAGGCTGAGGAGGACGGGCGGCTCTCCCGCGGCAGACGCCGTCACGAGCGGCGACCTCTTGTGGCGGCCAGCGAGTTTGTTGGCCGAATGGACTGTCGTGTCGCACGTAGGGCAGAGGTCGGCGTCGCAGGCCGGGCAGTGGATGGACGCGGCCTGCTTCTCGCACAGAGCGCATATGGGCGCGGGTTTCGATTCCACCGCGGAGTATGTGAATCGAACGAGGAATTGTGGCAGGATCTTCCAAACAACCATGAGCGGCTATCGAGAATGGACAGGAAAGCGCCTACCTGATGAGATGAAGGGACGATGTACTCGTGGTAGTAGGGATCGCGTTCAGTGGATGAAGGGGGTTGGACGAGGTAGTGACTGTGGTACCCTTGCGGAAGTCTGATCGCGGCATCTTCTTCGCGCTCGATGGGGAGCGACCGACCCGCGGCCACCTTGCACAATACAAACTGCTTCTTCCCTACCGTGTATCCATTAACCATAGCAAAGAAGATGGAGATGTACCTGTCTTGCCGGGGTTGTCCATGACGATGTTGCCCGTGGTGAACTTCATGCCGTGGTGCTGCGTGGAATCCATGGACGTGAATCCGTAGGTGTACATTTGCGCCATGGACGGGCCCAGGTCTTCGACCGACACCCATGAGTCCACCTCGAGCAACCCCGCGGTCTGCTGCTCGTACTGCGTATGGAGCGTCGGGTTCTTCATGTCCCAGATCATCACGTCGTCGTGCACGACGAAGCCGGGGAGGGACGCTTGAAGGAGGTACCGCACGCGCTGGAAGTCCTTTGACAGGGGGTTCATGGATGTCACTGTCGCGACTAAGAGAAATGCGTCGGTCAACTGTGGAAAGTGCGGGACGGGGCATACCTTGTCCTGGCGATGGACCGTCCATTGGCGCGGTTTTCACGGCGCCACCACTGGAAGCCGATCCATCGGGACTGGCAGGGTCGCCGTCATGCGCAGGGGACAGCAAGACACGCACGCGGGACGGCGCATTCTCGTTGGTGGAAGGAGAGCCTTCGGTGATCGCCATCTTGTTCAAGAATGAGGAAACCGCCCAAGATTGCAATGAAAACAATCCGTTTCACTTTTGGAGCGGATTATCCGAAATCATCCGGATACACACACAAGCGACGTTTGTGTGTGTATCCGGATGATTTCGGATAATCCGCTATATATTTGTTTTTAAAGTGTTTAGAATTCAAGGCTTCACCAATACAAAACCTCATACTTCGAAATACATTTCAGATTCCTCTATCGATCAACATGCCGAAGTATTGCAACTGGACTTGACGTCAAGTAACGTTAGTACATCTCGGTAGATCAAGGCCAGAAAGCCACCACTACTACCACATTGCAACATATATCCGGGGTTTCGGGGTTTACCGCCCCCTAAAGCTTGACTGACTGGGGAAGTCTGAAGTATATAATATGTATATCCCATGAATATTTACCGGTATGCATATATACTTTGAAATATATTCTGGTAGAAATATACATGTGTTAGTACGAATACGCCTTCGTCGTGGCTAGGAGTCTTGCCGCCTGAGACCTATGCCGTCCGTGGTAGAAATTATCAACACTGTAACCCCTGCGAATCAACGCTGCCCGGCCAGATCGGCAGCCCCGGCCAGCATGCGGCGACGGCGCGGCCTTTGGGATTTCTGACCCGTACTAGAGTCTATCACCACTGAGTCGCCCAAATTAGTGCATACCCCGCAGTAACGTCACTGACGTGCTTCAAATCATACCATCGTATCCACGCATACATACGCTTATTCGAAATATCCTCCATGAGAGGATGGCTAGGGCTTCTTTCACTGTTGGCTGGCCTCCCAGCTATTGTTCACGGTACCCCGTGCGATGCCAGCCTGAATCAAACCTTATCGACCATACGCAACCAGATTGTGTCGTCTGCCTGTGGGTACAGGGGGGAATGGGGGGCGACGGCCACACCCTTGGACTTTATCCGCCTACAGCCCATACATTGCGCTCGCGTGTGCACAACGCTCCTGTCGCAGAGACATTGGCCTGGTATCCTACAAGTTGGAGGACGTGACGTGCGACAAAGCTAGCTCCCTCGGCTTGGCTATGAGAGGCATCTTGAACCTCTGCGAACTCTTCCATCTCGCGCTCACCCCCCCAAAGTGCCTTCCTACTGAGTACGTAGAGCCCAACCTACCCACCGAATCTTACACAGCTGCCACAGTCCCAAAACAGCCTCTTTCCTCCGTCGGACCTGATGTTGCTGCCAGCCATGTCTCTACGCCCCAGCTGCCTGTTGGCTGTCATTACAACCCTGAATGCTTTGCCAGACTTTTCATGAGCCCCCCCATCCAAGCCGTAAGTGTACCGCGGCTTCCTCTTGGCCTTTTGCGGCAATATGTCCGTTCAGCTATACAGCGACGTTACTTCGTGCAACACCAAGCTGGCTATAATCTACGCGACACCGTTTTCAAAAGCTGCATCAGCAAAACCACGCCCGTCTTTCAAGGTCAGGCAATGTGTTGTACGAAGCAGCGATCCATGAGTACTTTCAACTGAGCTCGATCGTGGCTAAGACACCCGAGTGCAAGAACGATGTCGTAGACATCGCCACAGCCTTGGCCGATGTCTGTTCATGTGCGGCGAACCTGACGTTCGCGGTCCGAGTACTTCAAGTAGTATGGGCCTCCACTTACTCCCCCACTTTAGTGGCCTCTTCCCCCGACCAGGTGTGCAATGCGACGGAACTACCCGCCATTTCTCACCTGGTAAGTCCCCTGCAGGGCCCGCCTGCATCATGATCAACCCAGACGTGGATTGGTTTGATTGGGTCATGCCCCATAAGTTGGCCTCCGTCGGATCGGCCCCCCCAGCATGTGTCACCGCCGCCCTTGCGATTGTCAAAAACTCGTTTCCCAAGTGTGAGTTTGTCTACGCTGACTATGGCGGCACCAGCGACGGCGGACGCGTGGATGTTGCCACGTACTTTTCCAGTGTATAATCGCCGCCCAAATCATATTCAGCCAGCGATCACCAACCATGGCACCCGCAACGATACGACCAACGCCCGCACCCACACTGACCACGACGTCGACTGCCAGGGTCGAGCGAATTGTAGGGGCCATGATCTGGCTTATCGTGGTAGCTGGCACCCTGTAGGCTGGATTTACACTGCGAGTACCCACCAGGGCGACAGATGAACGGCATGCCTTGACATTCACAGGGAAATACTACTGCGGAATGCAGCCAATAATGTTGGACAATTTGTGCGTCAAGTGGCCAACATCAAAATGCGAGGCATGTTGATGGCATAGCCATCCCATATAAACATTTAGCCATACAAACCTTTGTTTTAGCCATACAAACCTTTAGCCCTGAATGTACTATAAACGTCACCGCGATCAGTGTTCTTGGGTCTAATGCTCCGTAGACATTTACGGTGTTAGATACGGGATTATTTTAACCCTAAGAGGACGAGTCGCTACTGCATGAACTGTACTTTGAACAGCTTCTGGCAGCAACAACCAACTGACTACTTCTTGTGATACAAACAATCAAACTGTTCGTGGTCGAGCCGATCTTTTTCTCTCATTTCGACGCCACAGCCGAGGGAACACGTGGAGAATCGCATGCCGCACACTGCTTGATGGGTTTGGACGGTGTTGGCGACCACGTGCTGGCCGCAGCCCATGGGGCACCACACGAGTCGGAACCGGCACTCCATCGTTTCATGCTCGTTCTTCTCGTACGCAAACAGCGGGTGCTTCATGCATCCGTGCGGGGCATATTTGCACTGAACCAGTCGCATCTTACACTCGTCCGCCTTGTGTCTGTCCAAGTGCTCGGCGACGATCCCGCCCAGGCCGCACGCCCCGCACGCAGTACATGGGCATGCTTCGTCACTCTGTTTTCGTCTGCGTCGGCTATTGTGCGCCTGGATC